CATTACTGCTTGTCCATCTTCATAACTTAACTAGAGGTCCTTGCATTAGTTGTGAACTTATTTGCAGAGATTTTCTCGCGATCTTTGTCCAGGTTTATTCCAGATCCTTGAATATGCTTTTAATACTATCAACCATAACACCGCCTTTCATATAGGCATATTGAGCAGTGCTAATAGCAGTCGGAAGTAAGAGAGTTCTGATCTTAACGTCATATAACCATTTTAGGTTTTTTTTATAGAAAGGAAGGGAGACCAACGGGTCTGCAGTCCTTTGCAAGTGAATGACCTGATTTTCCAGTTTTGGGGATGCAAGTGATGGTGACTTTCCTCCTTCGTATCATAATGTGTGATAGACGCTGTCAGGCCTTATGTTTCCCACAGATTCCGAGCTATTGCCGTCGAAGCTTGGCGGAAATTATAGCGTCTGGTCCAGGTAATTTTAAGGGTTTGAAAGTATCTATCGCCTTCTTAATTTGGGAATGCTTGTAATTCTATCAATCAGATTAATTTTCTCCGCTGTGCCATGGTGATGTTGTGCAGTTTGGGAAGTGAATGCTGGCTAACAGATTAAAGGTATCTAGACCGGCATCAGACTACGTGCCAACGATCAGCTTTATACTTTCTACAAAATTAGGATCATTTGGAAGGATTTTATAGACTTAAGCAGCGTCGTTGACGTTCGCTAATGACTTAGTGAGGCAGACCCATGATTTACGCATGGCTTTCTTGATCTCACTATTGTACTTGTTAAAGGCGATCTCAGTCCGTACATTGTTGGAGCTTTTTGGTCCTATTACACAATCATCTTCTCTCCCTCCTTAAGTTGGGAAAAGGATTAAATACGTAGAAGGTTTTTTCCTGGCTTGAGTCATCGGCTGGCTTCTTTGTAAAATAACGAAGGAGTTTTTGGTTGACTTAAATCAATTTTGTTAGTTTACCCAATGCTCCTTGGTTATTTTACGAAAAAGCTAGCACCTTAAATACTCGGACCACCATATTGATAGGTAAAAAGTTATCTATATCCAAAACTGAGGACAGGTTCACATCACCCAAAAAGGTATAGTCTTGATATAGCAGAGTCTGTCCCGATGCACTTTCCTTGGGTTTCTATGAGGAACACTCAGAGAATACGTTCCAATGTAGTATCAGAGATTAATCTTTATTGGTGAGGATGAGGTCAACGACATCCGCCCGGTCCTTATTTTGAAAGGTCGCACCACGTTGCTCCTGTAACATATTTTGAGAGTATGCTTTAAAATAAAATCAGAAATGCACTAACCTCTGGCGTTTAATTGTTCAAAAAAAATGCATTATGTCTCTATAATGAAATTGATAAGGAGGTGTAATCCTCTTCTAGTTCATTAAATAACCTAATTTAAAAAATATACATATTTATTAATGTAGACAACGATAAAATTGTAATATAAGCAGCCGCAAATATTTAATAACTATAATTTGTTATTTTTTCTTTACAGTTTTGTTTTTTAATACCTTGACTTTATTATTATTTTTATAAAGAGATCAAATACCGAAACATCATGCGTCAAGAGAAAAGGGCAATAATTATATAAACAAAATATGTAAATAAGTAAAAAAAGAATAAATATATACAAATAGAAAAGAAAATAATTTAAAAAAACAAAACAACGTTTGTTACTTTTTTACATAAACCAATTGAGAAATAAAAAAAAATAAAAAAGATTATCATCATGGCAAATATATAAATAAGCAAAGAGCAAAAATGAAACGATAAATTATAGAGCAATAAATATTTACTATTATTATTTTCTCGAAAAACAAAAAAAAACTAATCAAGAAGCACTAATTAAAAACAATTTTTGAAACAAATTAACCCCCAAGACAAAACGATATACAAGCATACAACAACTTATGAAAATAAAAAAAAATTGAATAAAATCCCAGAAAAAACATTTTGAAAATTTCTCCTTCACCATCAGAGTGGAGATGGCATGGGGATGCACACCAATATAATATGTTTACTGCAAGTTGATATTCCAAAAATAAATGACAAAATAATATACACTTTGTTGAAGCCATATTTGTACAGTCCTCCGGATACCTTTGTTAGTCAAAAATCATAAAACTGAAAAAAGTCACACTAGATCTTTTTACGCCATCAATTTTTATTATTTTTAAATTGTCTGGATTTGAAACTTTTTACGCCTTATCCAGGGAGTTGGCAACCCTGACATGTCAAACATATAAATATTTTTCCCACCGGAAAATTGTAAACCAATGGGTGCATTTATACATGGTGAGATAAAAAAAACTGCAACAAAGTCAAATGCCATAATTTTTACATTTTTTTTTTTTAATTTATTGAATAAAAGCAAAAAATGTCGGAAATAGCATCAAATTTTAGAATAAATTTAGATTTGTTCGAATTGGTCACTTTTGGCACGAATTATCGCCTTCAAACGGCCAATGAAACCGTAACACGCTTCCCGAATGTCGCTCTGCGGTATTTTGACCCATTGCCGGCGAAGCGATTGCTTGAGGTAATCGACACTTTGGTATTTTTTAGTACCAACCTTGCTTATCAAAATACTCTAGATACAATAGTCCAACATATTGGTATTCGAAGATTTCGGTGGCCATTGTGCGCTTGAAATGAAGCGAGGAACCTCCTTTTGTAACCATTTTTGGGTGGCACGATGAGGGCGATGGTGCTGAGTCCTGTTGGAATGTCCAAGGGCTGCGGACAAAATGTTTGCGTGTCCAAAGATTTAATACACCCTATAGAATATTTTCGCGATAATATTCGGCATTTATTCTGATACCACGGTCGATTATGGCAGCCCACACCATCACCATGAGCGGCGCTTGAGTTCTGGTGGCCAACCGAAGGTGCACATCTTCAGCTGACCTCTTTGGCAAGTAAACACGGTCATTTTGTTTGTTTACAAACTGCTGGGCAACGAATGTTTTCTCATGGGAGAAAACCAAATTCGGCAGTTCACCACTTATGGCCAAGCCAAGCAATTCTTTAGCTCTTTTTAGTTTATTTTCTTTCTGTTGGTGTAAGTTCTTGAACTTTTATGAATTTCAATGGCTTTACCCCGAGCTCATTTTACAATATTTGAATATTGCAAATGGAATATTGCGATATGTTCAGCTCACGAGCCATTTTCCGGTCACTGCGACGAAGGTTTCGATCAATACTTTTCGAACCATTTCTGCTGATGTTGCTGTTTTTTCCCGTCCACTTCCCTGACGTCGGGCTACGCTACACCAGCATCATGGTACGAGACACAAAAGATTTATTCACATTTAAATGCTGGATTGCTCTAACGATAGCCACTTCTGGTTTTCCAGCCAAATAGAAAGAAATCACACTATCATGCTTGAATTCCATCAGGAATAACTTTTTTTTTGGAAAATTCTCACCAAAATGTTTTTGTACCCTTGTAAACCTGAAGTTTATTGCAGTTTTTTCATCTCAGCCTGTACATTTGGCAGTCAGCTGGCTTGGCAGGGGGCTTATATAGGAAATTTCAGTGTTGCCACTTTAAATGACATCACTGTATGATTGTTAGGGTTTCATAGGTCCGGTGAACAAAAAAATTAATGGCGCTTCTATGAGAGCGATAACGAAGGGAAATTCTGCCATTAAAATTATTCGGGTTTGACCAAAAAAAAAACAAATCCAATTAAAATACTTACCCGCCAACAATCGTATGGAGGAAGTCAGAAAAAATGTTTATGGAATACTGGTCAGCCCAAAATCAACAATTTTGAGGGGTTTGCGTCAATAATTCGGCGGTATAGAAAAATGCGGTTAAAAAACGAAAGTGCTGTAGAATCGCTGCATGTAATCGTGGTGATTACTCAATTTATATTTATCTATGAGGAAATGAAAGCAATGCAGCTATTTTTTTTGTTTTTTTTTTTTTTGGTATAAAAGCTACAGCGAGTAGTTAAAAATATATGCAACATGCGCTTTCAATACTTTCGTCAAATAATATTATTAAGAGGACTGTCCAATTTTAGCTTCTCACAAGGGCATAAATAAAAACAAAAGAAAACAGAAATATTCAAAGAAAAAAGGGCTTCATTTTAATTAAATTAAAACGAAAACAATGCAAAAGGTTTTTAATTATATAAAAACTTTTAAGCAAACCATATAATATATAAAATCAAAATGCTCTTCAATTTGAATTACACAAAAATATAATATAAATTGCATCCTACAAAGAAGAATGTATTGTAATTTTATTTTAATAAAGTTCATGCATCGAAAGTTATAAAATCTGTCCTATTATATAATCGAACTTACTTTGACATTATTCAACGAATAGGTTTCATTCACTGCAAAGTTTTAGTCATGTTCACGTTTTCGTCAAACTCAAAGTACCACCCAATCAGAAACTGGCAACCTTTATTTTTATTTTTTTATTACTTTACTTTTTTAACAAAGCGGGTTTACCCGCTTTAAAATTTTGTATTTAAACGCGCTATTATACTTCCAAAGTTACCTAGTAATACAATGTAATAGACTGCCATCATATGTGAATCATGACATAATTTCAGCAATAATATATTGTCGTTGTTTACAATTTACAAACGTCAAATTTACAATTGCATTATGATAATAGGAATAAAATCAGCTGGTCTTACCGGATAACCTAATATGTGGGCCATACTATTGATTATGGAATGACACTTAGAATGTTTCATGGTACAATAATAGGTACACCCCATTTAACACAGCTGATCAAAAAAAGTATTAAAACACTCATGGTATAATTATAACTAGCAGCAGCAAACCCCTGCTGATTTGACTCCATAGTATACTAATGTCAAATTCAATATGACGTTTTGTGATTTACTGTCTGTTCCATGGTAGAAGAATATAGGTAGATGCATCAACGCTTGGGAACATTAATATGTCAAAAGTGTTTTGTCAAAAATAAATAGATGTTTATATGTTTTCATATACGAGGCCAATCGGAGGTTGTCATGATATGTTTTTTTTCCACAATTTTTACAAATTTCAATACTTTTTCATTCAAGATTTTCAATTCCAAAATCGGTTTAACAGTTCATTGTTCCAGCGGCTGTGTCGATGCGACTACCTGTATTGTTCTACCATGGTCTGTTCCACGATATCGAAAGAAAATTTGTGCGAACGAAAGCTAGTCACTCACTTTCCTATCAGAATGCATTTTAATAACATTCATTCGTTCTTTCGCATAGCCTTATGTGACTCAGTGGTGCTAAATATACCTAAACAAAAAAACGCCAAAATGACAGATTTAACGCGAAAAAGACGTAAAAAATGCAAGGAAATTAAAAATATATTTCTTGTTGACATTTCATAATTGTATTTATTGTTTTTACCAATCAAAGCAATATTTATGTTGAAACAATTTTCCTGATTTATAATCCCCGAAAGCAAACACATAAGCGACTTTTGACATTTACAGCCTGTTCCACGATATCGAAAGAAAATTTATGCGAACGAAAGCTTGTCACTCTTTCGTATCAGAATGCGTTCCACTAACATTCGTTCGTTCTTTCGCATAGACTTACATGACTCAGTGTTGCTAAATATACCTTTGAAAAAATTAATCGTGAAAATAAACAGAAAAACGCCATACGTAAGCTGGCTCTGCCTGAAATGAGAGTTCAATTGTAAACAAACAAATTGTAAATAAAGAAACAAAATAATATCTGAGTTTCCCAGTGATTGTGTTCAATTGATTTGTGCAATTGTGCGAGAAGGAGAATCCAACAACTCTGCATTTAAACATAATTTTAAAACATATTTTTTCCAGTATTGGCACTCCTCTGGCGAACTCAGGAATCTCCTCCATATAAATAACTAGCGCCCACAGCTGTGTAGTAGATGATTTTTTCATGCTGGAATTCGGGAAATTAAAATTATATTTGTTGTTGACATATTATAATTGTATTTGTTATTTTTTACTCACCTTTTTGTTTCAATTTTCCATTAAAGGCAAAAAATTCTCCTGAATTATAGTCAGACGACAGAAAATGCACAAATGACTGATTTTGACATTTGCGTTCGCATGCGTGCAAATGAAAAAATATAGTGGAACGCAATTACACTGAAATGCTTGCGTTTTCATTCGCTTTGATTTTCGTACAATTTCTCGTTCTGATGAATTTTAGTGGGATGGAAATCAACTGTTTTTTGTGTTAAAGGTGTGCGATATCGTGAAACAGGCTGTAAAAATCCAAATTGCAAAAATTAACATAAATTATTGAAAATAAATTGTTTTGTATACATTTTTGGACATATTGTATTACGTACAAAAACAAATTTGTATGTGTTTGTTGCTACGTTTGTTGTACAACCTCACTTGATGTTCCCTGTATTTTTCTACCATTCAAAATACTTTTGTAATCGAAAACACAGTACGAAAGGTATGCAAAAGGTGTATATATTTTGATATTTCGCCATGTTTTGAAAATGTTGTGGAACACCTTATCATTGCGGCCTGACATGAATTATTACAACCTGTATTAAGACATTAACGTTGGAAGAATCGACAGATTTAAAAGTTTTTTTTTTATTTTTTTACTATTTACTACACAAAAAAAGTAGTTGCAAGATTGCCAGTCTCTAATTAGCTGATATCTTGAGTTTGATAGTTTCAAAAAGTGCGTTTTGTTCAACCTCTTTAACGTTACGTTTAAAATTTTTCTCATTTCATTACTATTTACATATATTGTAATAAAAATATTATAGAAAAATAAACAAAATTACTGCTTTATTTTAATTTTAATGAGTCGGAAAAAATATTTATTTACCCTCACTTTAGAAATGTATAAACCAATTATTGTTATTTACTATATATTTCTTAAATATATATGTTTTTTATTGCTTATAACAATACCTTATTATACCTATAAAAATATCTTGTGTCTGGATTAATCGTTATTATTAACTAACATCAAAAATGATTTGTTTTCTATGTATTCTAAACACTCGAAATTATGGAAAAATTATAGTTACGTTAAAAACTAATGACAAGTGGAACCTCTTTATTGCCACCTCACAAGAACTTCTATTTAATTTACTCTACTCTAATAATAATTTTAAAGAATAATAAATACCAATTCCAAAACAACAAAACTTAAATGCAATTAATATTATCTAAGCATATTAAACTAAAACGAACAGAACACAACAACAAGAACAAAAAACAAACAAAATAATATTTAAAATATAATAAAAGTAATTGATTAAAATAAACTCATTTTAGTTTGATATCAATTTTTGGCAATGTAAGTAAACAGGTGTAAGTACAAGGACTCCATGTAGGGATAAGTATAACAAAATATACACGACATACGAAGAGCATGGTAGAACCATGGCAGAAGAATACAGGTAGATGCATCAACGCTTGGGAGCATTGATATGCCAACAATTTTTTTTTTTTTTCAAATATGAGTAGATTTTTAAATATTTTCTTATACGACGTTATTATGAGGTTATTATAATTCGAGTTTTTTAACAATTTTTGCAAATTTAAATAATTTTTCATTCAACATTTTCAATTCCAAAATTGGTTTGAGAGTTCATTGTCCCAGCAGCTGTGTCGATGCGTCTACCTATATTCTTCTACCATGGGTAGAACTAAGAAGGTAAAGTCATGTAATCATATGTTTAAAACTTTCAAAATTTATTTTTGACAACATCTGTCAAAATCTATATTTATAAAACCATTGTACAACAACAATTTTTTTTTTTTTTTTATCAAATATGAGTAGATTTTTAAATATTTTCTTATACGACGTCATTATGAGGTTATTATAATTCGAGTTTTTTTAACAATTTTTGCAAATTTAAATAATTTTTCATTCAACATTTTCAATTCCAAAATTGGTTTGACAGTTCATTGTCCCAGCAGCTGTGTCGATGCGTCTACCTATATTCTTCTACCATGGGTAGAACTAAGAAGGTAAAGTGATGTAATCATATGTTTAAAACATTCAAAATTTATATATTTGACAACATCTCACTGTCAAAATCTATATTCATAAAACCATTGTATACACACAAAATCAGAGATGGGAACTGTAGTCATCAAAATTTGACAAGGTAAATTACAGAAAATGCTGGCAATGCGAATTTGAAATAAAGATAAAGATGAGAATATTGATTTTGTGATGTTTTCTTATATTTTTCAATTTTGTCGCATGAGATACTTTCATTTTGAATTACAATATTGAATTTCACATTTTGTAATATTTTTACTCCTTACAACACTATGTAGTTAGGATATTATATACAGGGAACATTTATGGCCCGATCCTCACGAAATATTGGATGGAGGTAGGGTTAGTGTCAGAATAGGAGCCTGACACGTCACTGAAAGTTTTTTAACACGTCATAATTATTGTTCGATCCTTGGGAAATTTTAAGTAGGGGTTCGGTATCGGCCCTGTCAAGCATTTTGGATGGTCATCGGATAATAGTTAGCGAAAAATATGGAAAAAATACCAAAATGTCTATTCCATCGAAATGCTGAAAGTGAATTTCAGCCTTATTAATATAGAGAAACCTTAATTTACAAATATTGTTCTGAATAGCCATTAGCATGGCTCTATTTTCTTAAGCTTTAATATAGGGCAAATTCTATAAGAACATGCATTACTTCGGTCCAAACCATGATTTTTTTAGAGATGACAGGTTTTTTAAGTTTTTTCGGAAGGAGGACCAATAAGGTCCAATTTTGTTTTTAAATTTAATATGATTTTATTTAAATGTATTAAGTTCTAGAAAATTAGAAAACCGAATGATGATTAAAATGATATCGTTTGTAATCTTAAAACGTTCAAAACCTTTATTTAACCTTTTCTATCCGCATCTAATGTAAATAAGTGAATTCATATTTCTAATTTCTGCATTTATACGGTTCATGCCACTGAAAACTCTTCCAACTTCTGCGTTACTAAATGGTAAAACTAGACACTTCATAACAAATGAAGACAATTCCTTGAACGGGGTTTCATTTAAAGCATTTTTAAATGTTTGCCCTTTCATATGTAGTAAGCTTTTATCATTGCTTTCTAAAACAGTAATTTCGTTCAAAAAGGTTCATGTAATTTAATTTTTTACATTTAAGAAAAATTGGAAAGTACTAAAATATAAGAAAATTTTTGGACAAAAAAAAACTAAAAAATGCTAAACTAATAATTTCAAAAAGCTAAGAAAAATGCTAAATGCTAAATGAAAATTTTGCTGCTAAATACAAAAAATAAATGCTAAATTTAGCTGCAAAAATGAAGCGAGGAACCTCATTTTGTAACCATTATTGGGTGGCGCGTGCTGAGTGCGAGGGTGTTGAGACCAGCTGGAATGTGCAACGTACATATTTGTTTATTTCCTAATATTTACCATAATTTTTTTTCTATCCTTAAAAGTTTAATTCATCAGATCATATTTGAACAACATTAGATCACATATGTAGGAGTGATGTGGCGGCCCACTAATTCCCACAATGGTGAAAATGTTTAACAATCATTAGTTTTCAGTTTTCTTCAATGTATTAATATCAGATTTTGTGTTGGTTGGAATTATCTAGGTTTAATCTTAATGGCTCAAGGAATGAAGAAGAGTTTGGTTAGAGTGCAATGTGTGGAATCAATTTCAACCCTAACTCCAAAATCTGTTGTCGTAATTTTACCGTAATTTATGATTGGTAATGTTTCAGGATTTCATAGCTTCAAAGATGTAGGAGTAAAGTTTTGAAAGTGCCTTAAGAAATAAATTCATTCAAAGGATTCATTTCCCTGTTCAATATTTTTCAAAATTTAAAAGCCAAACGTATCGTCATTACCCTCATGTAAACCAATTTGAGATAGAAAGAACCCGTGTTATATTCGGCATGCACATTTATTGATAATGTTGAGGCTAAAGTAAATCATAACAGATTTTTGATTATACCCTGCAGTTCTTTCAAAAACCCCGAATTGAGAACCGGAAATATGTTTTAAAACCCTATTATTTGAGACCCGTAGTTATTCTAAAATAGCAACAATTTAAGACCCGAGGATATTCTTTAAGCTTCCTTAATTGAGATCCGGAAATGTTCTTCAAAACTTACGATATTAGACCCGAAAATGGTCTTTAATAATTTGAAGATGACAGAAATCCAGATGCTTTTGCAGAAAATCCACATTTTACGGGCGACTTCCTTGCTTCTTGTCTTACTTTGAATTCTCAGACTTCTTATGGAACCTGTTCCAATTGATTTCACTTCTTCTTTCCCAGTTCGCTAAAATCTGAGACCGTATCGAACATTTCAAATCACAACGAAACAAATTTTTCTTGCAAAATTGAAATATTTTAAATTGCAATGAACCAAAACAAAATTATTCATTCTTTCAAAATAAAATGTTCTGATTGGCGCAAAACAATTTGCAAGAAAAGTTGCTTTGTTGTAATCTGAAGCGCCAACCTAAAATGTAATAGAAAATAAAAAAATAAATAAACAAATTTAATGTTTAATTATTTGGTGCTTTATTATTAAAATTATTAATGATTTTTGTTGATATTAACAAAACAGATGAATTCTTCATATTTTCTTAGGGAATGCATACAAAAGTAAAGTTTTTATTCTAATCAGATAGAAATAAAAATAAAAGGATACAAAGAGTGGATGCGCAAGCAACAATTCTTAATAACAATTAAAAGTGTATTATAGATAATAGGTTAAATGCTAGAAATTAATATACAAACACAAATATTAAATTAAAGTTTCAGTGCATAATGTTCGTATACATATTAGACCATAGATAGGTAGAATACAAAAACGAAGAAGAACAGTTTGGAAAAGCAAATGCAATAACAAAGTTGTGTTTTTGAACTTAAATCGGAAAAGAAACTATTTAACGCTCTCCGGTTGATTTTGTAATTCAGCCAACACATTTTTGGGATCCTCCGAACGTAAATAGGGATTGATTTCGGGTTGTGGCTCAAAGATAACATTGCCACGTACAACGCGAACACGTGGTCCTATTGCTCGGGGATTGAATTTCACTTTGCCACAGGTATCGGGACGAATTTCACGATGTGTTTTTAATGCGCTGATGCAGGAAAAATGTTTATCACAGCCATAGCACTTGTAGCGTTTCATATTAAGATGACGAGATAAATGAGCGATTAACGTTTCACGGTGTGTGAAGCGCTGGGAACATACCTAAAACAGAATTATTTTATTAGTTGGATTAAAAAATGAAATAACTATTACAATTCGCTTACCTACCTGGCACACAAATGGCCTTTCTCCTGTATGTGTCCTATGGTGGACGGTGACCTGACCTCGTGTACGGAATCGTTTGTCACAATAATTACATTTATGCGGCAAATCTCCCGTATGTATTGTCATATGACATTGCAGGGTACTTAGGGAATAAAATTTCTTGGGACATTGCTGACATGGATATTGGGGTTCACGGCTACAATTTGCCGAAATATGATCATTGAGCATTGTTTTCGATGAACATTTACGGCCACATTTCTCACAAATATAACGTGGCTTGACAATATTAAGGGCTGACATTTTTATGGGTTGTGGGGGAGGTGTTGTACTGCTATTGTCTAAATCATTTGGTATTGTGGAGCCTCCATCAGAAGATGGCAAATCAATTGATATTTGTTTCGATTCTTGTTTTATTTTCGTTTGCTCTTGACCATAAGCTTCTTTTTGTTGCTTTTCTGCATCTGTTGCTACATCTGAAAAATAGAAAAGGAGCAAAGTTATTTATTAAATATCATTTAAACTAGTCAACCCTAATTGACTTTAATAGAAATAGAAGGTCTTAAAGTCGGGCGGGGCTGACTTTATGATACCCTACACCCCCCTTTGCATATTTTGTAGAGCTTCACATAACAAAAATTAAAGCTTTCATTGGGATTTTGTGGGAATAAAATTTCTAGACCCAAGTTGGTTGTAAGTGGGAAATTCCTTCCCTTTTGGGCTAATATTAAACGTTTGGTGCACAATTAAAGGCAAATCGGACGAAGATATATATAAATTTCGATAAAATTGGCATACAGGGTGAGATGAAAAACTGCAAGCAACTTCAGACTGCTGTCATTTCCAAGCCACTCGTCCGACAGCTGTTAAAATTATTCCAGTGACAGCTCAGCAAAGCATTTTGTTGAGAATTTTCCAAACAAAAAAGTTATTTGTGATGGAATCCAAGCGTGATAGTGTGATTTCTTTATATTTGTCTGGAATACCACAAGTGGATATCATTAGAGTACTCCAGCATTTAAATGTTAATAAATCTTTTGTGTCTCGTATCATCGCTCGTTACCGTGATACTGGTAGCCTAGCCTGACGTCAAGGAAGTGGACGGAAGAAAACAACAACATCAGGAGAAATGGTTCGAAGAAGCGAATTGATCGAAACCCGCGTCGCAGTGGCCGATAAATGGCTCGTGAGCTGAACATATCGGCAAATATTGAAAAATGGGTGAAGCCATTGAATTTCCAAAAAGTACAAGAACTTACACCGCAACAGAAAGAAAATAGACTCAAAAGAGCTGAAGAGTTGCTTCGCTTGGTCGAAAGTGTGAACTACCGAATTTGGTTTTCTCCGATGAGAAAACATTCGTTGTCCGGCAGTTTGTAAACAAACAAAATGATCGTGTTTACTTGGCAAAGAGGTCAGCTACCAGAACTCAAGTGCCGGCATGGTGATGGTGTGGGCTGCCATAACAGCCGTATGGTCGCATCAGAATAAATGACGAATATTATCGTGAAAATATAGTGGAGGGTGTATTAAAGCCTTGGATACGCAAACATTTTGGCCGCAGCCTTGGACATTCCAACAGGACTCAGCACCATCGCACTCAGTACGCTCCACCCAAGAATGCCACCAAAATCTCCGGATATCAATCCGTTGGATTATTGTGTCTGGAGTATTTTGGAAAGCAAGGTTGGCACTAAAAAATGTGTCGATCACCTAAAGAAAGCCCTTCACCGGGAATGGGCCAAAATACCGCAGAGCAACATTCGGGCAACGTGTGACGGTTTCAGGCCATAATTCGTGCCAAAGGTGCCCAATTCAAACAAATCTAAACATATTCTAAACTTTGATGGTAGTTCCGACATTTTTGCTCTCATTTAATAAAATTTAAAAAAAAATGTAAAAATTATGGCGTTTGACTTGTTGCAGTTTTTTTATCTTACCCTGTATATCTGAAATAAATTCGGGGTGGAAAGTGGAAAGATATGAAAATACCACTAATGTTTCTTCAAGAAATAAAAGATCTCAAAACTCACCTTCATTTTTAAACGCCTTTGCTTGTACGTTGATTTTATCCATATCTCGGCTAGTCAAATGATGAGCTTTTGTTAAATGACTTTTAAGGCAACGTTTAATGTCGTAATCCTTAAGACAATATGGACAAATCCATTTGTATTTGTAATCGGGGTATTTATAGCGAGCTTCCACCAATTCTACATCTATCGTACTCAAAATTGGCAAATATAAAGTAGGCGGACATCCGGGAACTTTTATACTCGATTCAACATCTTTTGATATATTCATGAGTGGCTTAGTTTGCTTTGTTTCATTACCCGTCAGACTTGTATCACCTACTGCAACTTTGGCAATTTGCTGTTTCATTGTATCGATTATATGTTTCTTCTCTGGCATACTTTCGATGGCAATTAATTTCTTTTTTGGTATATATTGTATGCGTTCTTCTCGATTTTGAGTTGTATTACCGTTTACAGAGATGCTTGATTGGTTGTTTCCAACCGTGGAGGGATTTTGGGTTTCAATGGGCTTAGTTGAGATTGGTGTTAGAGAATTCAAATTTGATTGCGATTGCATCATTGTTGGAATTTGTTTTTGTGGCATTGGTTGTGACATAACCAACGGAGTATTTGCTATTTTTACAACATTTAAAGGTTGTTGGAAAAGTATGTTGTTATTAGCATGGTTTGGCAAGTGTGATGCAGGCATTAGTTTGAGAATTTGAAGAGTCATTTTTGGCGCCGACATAATTTCTCCAATTGTTTGTTGTTGCCCAGGTTTTTGCAGTGGAATTAATTGTATGTTTGGAGGTAAAATAATATTTGAGGGAGCCATGGGAGTTGGTGCCAAGCGTAGAAGTTTTAAATTTGTTATGTTTTTAAGGCTATTATTCAAGTTACTGTTGCTGTTATTATTGACATCATTTGCCACAATGTTGAGACTATTTTTAATTTGATCGTTGTTAATATTTTGTTTATTGTTGTTGTTGGTTTTTTGCAAAGCTGGCACATGCGACACTTTACTTGGTGCTGTCATTTGTATTATTTTACCATGAAATTCAGGATTCATTTCCTTTGAATCATTTATAAATAGGGATTTTAATTCCTTGTTTTTGCTCAACACGTCTCCACCGGGTTTCTTATCCGCCGTTTTATATTGGATATCAGTTTGATTTTCATCCTCTGTTTTAATAATAACCTCCGGCATTAGAGGAGTTGTGTTCAAAACATCCTCCTCTTCATCCATTGATTCCTTTTTAACTTCTATATTTGCAAGTAAATCAGTCAACATTTCATTTGGTTTATGGTGCAATATAGTTTTCAAATTGCTAACACATTTAGAACGCTTTGCTTCTGTTTCTTTCACGACCATTTCATTTGGTCTCTTAATTGCTGTCAAAGGCGGTGGCATATTGCTTTTCAATCTAAGCTTAGTTACAGCGAAAGTTGGTGCCGGTGGTAATGATTTTTTATTGTCTGTTTCATTTGCCAATTTCTCAGTATTGTTAATCATATCAGATGTCATGCTGTAATGTGTTGCAACGGCATGCAACAGTTTGCCACAATTTACATCCTTTTGCAACCAATGAACATGCAATTGTAATTCGGTTTTGAAACCTTCACGGCAATAGGAGCAGAAATGTTTATAGCGAATTTTTGGTGGGTTTGTCTGCAAAGAGCGAGAGAAAAACATTAACATAAAGCACAAAGTGGGTCACAAAGGCCCTAAGGTCTACATGTTGAGCAATTACAAAAAGAGAGTCTACATAAATTCCTTTCAATTACAGAGAATTATTTTGGATTTTGTTTCTCAATTCTAAAGTTTGAATATCGAATAATTTTGTCTGAGATCATAAAACTTATGGATACAAAAAATAAAGAAGCATTTTAAATTATTAACACTATAAGTAATTATGTACTACAAAAGCAATTTAAATTATAAAGATTGTAAGAAATATATATTACAGAAACATTTTTAAATATAAAAGTGAACAAAAAACTTCGTAGATTACTCACAATTTTGTGTATACGTTTTTCATGATCTTCGCACAGAGGTAGTGTATCAAAATTTGCTCCACAATTTTGGGAACAAAAGAACTTATTATCACGATGTAGTGTCAAATGCTTCAGCAGTGATTGTGGTTCGACAAAAGTCAATGGACATGCAGAACATTTTCGCTTGACAATACAGTTATTACGTTTAATGTGCTCTGAATATGAGGAACGCTTGTTGAACTCTTTCAAACATTTCGGACAGGAACCAGAAAATTTCGTCCTCTAAAACGGGATGTTAATAATTATAAATGGTATTAAAATAGCGGATATTATTTAACCTACCTTTGGTTCGTGCAATTTTTTAATAAATTGCAGTTCATCCTGGGTTTTCATATCGGCTGCGCTGACGGTAATAAACTGGTCGTGCTCCTCTACAACTGTGAAAATGTCACTATCATCAAGTGGTTCATCTGAAATAAAACAATGGAAATGTTAAACATATTTATTTTTCCAATCCTCAGTTTCAACACAACTGAACAAATCTTGGGCCAGAAGTCGAGGAAATTACACTACTGAACCATTTTATTGCAAAATTATTTATTATTTACAAATGCCTACGCCACCGCCTGAACACAATGACTCCAAGCTAATATAACGGTTCCGTTTATTGACAACTACATGAAACGATGCCATATTCCTGTGTTTATACTAATGTTACCACATTATTTGTTACTTTTTATCAACTGACTACAGAGTTGTATTAAAACATATGAGTTTGGGTGGTTGTCTGCCGCTCAGTTGATTGCTTGTGTGGTGGAATGAGGAAACAAAACAAAATGTGCGCACAAATTTAATAACACATTTATAAATCGGCTGCAAATAGCAAACACAAAGCAACAACCACCACAACAACAACAACGACAATTGTCATAATACAGTCGTATACTGATCGTGTCAACCACTGAATGTTGTGTAAAGAACACAATGGATGACTTATAAAAAAGGAGGAGAGTAAGAAAAACAATTCTTGCTCAAATTACCAGCCCATTTTATCGTATATAGTTTGGGATTTCATCATGAAACTTTAAAATATATACCCCGGCATTAAAATGAAATATCTTCCTTACCCTTAATAAAGGCCATTTGCAATTGCTGTTTCAGCAAACTCGTTACTGCAGCTTCTTCTTCCTGGCATTGTTGCTTGTTGAATATTTCCTGGGCATTTTCACAGTCATCCAAAGGCTCTTCTTTAATTTCTATTTCCATTGCACGTTATGTTTTTGTTTTTATTTTTAATTAATAAAACTCCTTTTTATGTAAATATTTTTCACTTAATTATTCCATGCAAACCCTTGCGAATGTGAGAGAAATAATTAACTGTAATTTTTTGTTCTTTATTTATGCGAGGCAGAAATTTACTGTTAAGAAAACCTACTAGCACTCAAACGACGAACGCAACACAATGAAATGATCGTTTGTGTCGTTAAAGAGAACTGTCAGAAAAGTATTTATTCAAATGATAATAGGTGTGTGTAGTGAGAGCGTGCGTTGGTGTGTGTGTGAAAATAAGAGGGAATTTGGAAAAAATGGACGCGCTTATAACAGGGTTGATATCTGAATAGCGTAATTTTATAATAACTGACAACACCTGTAAACTGTCGGTAGTGCAGTGTACTGCATTATCGGCACTTGAAAGAAGGATTTAAAAATTGCAAAAATTTATGTTTTTATTTGTTATTTTCTTTATTTGAAGTTACATTTAATTTTTATGCCTAGATTCATGGAACAATAATTACAAGGTAGCAGCTGGTTTGACTTTATATTAATAAAACTGTCAAATTAAAGATGTCATTTAGTGATTTAATTTTATTTGATATACAAAAGGTATACACTTTTTCCGCTGCTGTGCAATGAGGAGAATAGAAAAAAGTAGTTATACTTCTTCATTTTTTGGAATATTTGTTTTGAATTACAAATAAAATAATCCGAAAAGGTACGTTTTGGAAATTAAAATTAATTATTGAAAACACATTGATTTTTTTAACATTTTTGTTAAATAACTACAACACTAGTAGTACTTACAATCATGGCATAATTACCAAGGTAATCTCATGCAATCATACGATTATAATTTTTTTATTCAATGTTAATAGATTGTCAAATTGAAATTTTGTAGTTCTACCCATGGTACAATAAAAAGGTAAGGTAGAGCTACAAGCTGATTACAATTTATTTCTAAGAGTTCCCGACTTCTACCAATTTTGTGTATGTATTTATTGTTTTGAAAATAAAAACAATAACAAGACGCTCATTAAAGCTATTCGCCAGTTTTGTCAAGAAATTGAAATATAGAACTGTTTAGATCATATTTTTGAAAGAAATCTAGGCATTTCATTCATTTTTCCCCAGGCATTTCATACCTTTTACAGCCTCAGGACTGTACTACTGTAGTTTTACGAAACTGTTCTACCTTCTTATTACACCATGATAAAAACTAAGGGTGAGAATACATAAAACGCTTTTTTGACTGGCTTAAGTTATCAGCTGGCTTTTTTTTTTGGTTTTAGAAAGTTGAAAACTTGGCCAATTTCCAGATAACGCCACAACAAGCAATCGGGAGGGTTCCGCTAAGTCGTTAATGTTTAGAGCAGATGTTTACAAGTTAAATTTGATATTGTGCAAAAATTCAGCAATGGCAGGGAGTTTTTTAATCCCATGTTTGTTGATGAAATCCACAGTGGATCTTGAGCTCCGTATATAATGATTAGAATTTCTTTCTGACGAAAAGCGATGGCACTGAAATAGGATATGGTCGACATTTTCCTCAGTGCGACAAGTTTCACAGAGGGCAGAAGGAACTGCTTTCATTCTTTCCAAGGTGGCATTGCAAAAGGCGTGGTTTGTGACAACTCCGTTGAGTGTTTTTGTATCCAAAGGGGTATATGTGGTGTTGTGAAACCATGGTCGTTTGGTGACTTCAGGGAAGATTGTGAAGTAATGAGAGGAGCCGGACAATCCTCTTTCTCTATACTCATTTGCCCATTCTATCCACAGGTCGTGAGTTATATGGTTAACTGCGTCAGAGATAGTCAAGGGTGTCTCAATCTGCGAGCCAATCTCTCTCGCTCTTCTTGCGGCTTGATCAACTGTTTCATTAAGTGGAATACTACAGTGCCCCGGGATATGATGCAATTCAATCTCCTCAAAGTGTTCCGAAGCTAGCCAATTAATTCTGTCAACAAGATAATTTCCCCTCTGATTGTTTTTTATTGCTACAAGACCACTAAGACAGTCACAAAGAACGGCTAATTTTCGAATTTGATTGTTAGCTGCATATTCAAGTGCTTTGACTATTGCTATAAGTTCGGCCGACAGTGAGGACAATGCCAGGTCCCCGATATCAGCTGGCTTCTTCGTAGAGGAACAAATTTTTAGGTTGACTTAGTTCGGTTTTGGCCCTACGCTCCTTTGACCTTTTCCAAATTATTAGCCTCACAAGTCATGTAAGGCTTGATTATGGAATAGTTAAATCTTGTTTCAAAGCATCATTTTGCGGTAGCTAAGTAAGTAAGAAAATTGACAATATCGCAGCTTATTTTTCTATAATACTCGTAGAAGATTGCAATACCGAATTTTCAGTTGAATTGACTTTAATTTCATTGCAGAAATTTATCAGCGTAAGATGTTGTTTTTACTCGAACTATATAGGAGTATTAATCAGCTGGGGCTTGATCCATAAGGACTGACTAAAAATAAAACGTCATTCAAGGACTGCACAAGAACCGAGCAATTTCCTTAAAACTAAGGGTTTAAAGTCTCTTTTTTATATGGATCATATAACTTCCTAAGATATGGAACATATAACTGTTACCGCCGAAAATAATAGAAAATTTTTGGTTTTTGTAAAATATTTCACTTGACATATGTAAATATTTTAGATATGAAATAAATTTTATTTGAGAAATGACAAAGTCCAGTACCTCAGAAAAGAATTGCCATATCCTATCAAAGAAATAAATCTACCTCTATTGTTCTGCCATTGCCTTACTATGTACCATAATTCTACTCATGGTATTGTTAAGAAGGTAAAGTCATGCAATCATATGTTTATATATTTTTTAATTATTCATTTGATAACAATTCATTACACAAATCTGAGATGGGATCCTGTTTTCTATGCAGTGAAATTTGGCAAGTTAAGTTACAGAAAATGTAGAGATTATCTTAATTTTACCGTGATTGTACTACGCATCGTTCTCAGAATGGAGATGCTTATCATTTTGAATCAAAATCTAAAATGATGTGTTTTCCAGTCCTGGATTTTTATTTAATGACAGACTGTGAAATAATTCATAATCCATTCTTCGAGTTTATGGGCAAGATGCGTGAGGAAAGAGCTGTTTCATCTCAATTTCTCCCAAAACGCCAAAAATTGCATATGAAAGGTTTTAGTGACTGACAAAGGCATTGAGTTAACATCCTTGCCAGCATAAAAAAATTTTGTTCGTTTTTGTCCATCCTAACGGCGTTCATTTTGAATGACTTTGTTTTTATGTTGTTGTACCGTTAGTTTTTGTGCTTGTCTCGTTTGGATGAAAATCGAAAATTCTTGGATTTTTATTAAAAAAGAAATATAAAAAGTCTTAAATGTTGTGAATGTGTTTCATATTAACTGGGAAATCGTGTATATTTTGAAAGATCATCGATAAAAAACGTCAATATGGAAATGGATACATTAAACTTTCAGGGCGCGTCTTATCAAGAAACCAACAACAACAATACCGATTTAGAAAATCTGAACTTAGATGATTGTGACTTTGCGTTACTCTCTGATATTTGTCCGGAGAAAAGCTACGACTTTGTCAATCTGGAAAGCAATGTAGAGTATATTTTGGAACATGTCACCGATAGCTTCTTCCGTGAATGTTTCAGTTTCGATAAAGTGCTGGTGCGCTGTTTATTGATGGATTTGCATCGTCGTACCTTTTATCCTTATTATGATCCATACGAGAATATAAAAGGTTCCCTATCATTTGACATGAGTGTGCTGGCCACACTGAGTTATTTGGTAAAAGGAGATCTAAGCATGTTAGATCAGTTGCCCGAATTCGATGGTTATACTCGTGAGACCATAGCTCGGTCAATAGTAAAAACCTGTGAAATATTTGTGCATTTTCTAACTCCGGATTATATAACGTAAATAGAAGTTATGAAAATAGATAATTTCGATTTTAATGAGTTCTTTGTGCTTTCAGATTTCCCAGCTCAATGGATGAACAACATGTAAATAAGGTGGAATTTTTGGGAAAATTTGGTGTACCAGGTGTTGTTGGTGTTTTGGATTGTTATTACATACCATTGCAAAATGTTCCTGAAGATGAAATGAAAATGTACCTACATCGAAACATACGAGTTCCAACGGTGGCCGTGCAATTGGTATGAAAAAACAACATTTAAAATTGGTATTTAATTTTTTACTTATAGGGAAATGGAAGAATGATTTGAAATAATACTAGGGTTCAAGATATAGTTATACATTTTCCTTGTATAGCTTTATTCTTGATAGGCATACAATTCCAAATAGATTGAAAGAACATGAGCTATTTTATGTATTTAAAACAAAAGTATTTTTTATGGTTTAGATTTTTGTTATTGAAAATAACCTTATTTCGGACTAGATTTAGTAATTTTATATGTTTAGTTCCACCATTACAAAAGAAAGACACAAACAAAATTCTGCCAAGGTCTATGTTCCTTCCCCAAGGTCTATGTTCCCCGTATAACGATACTGACATATTCTACGTTTTCTGATCCATTCTATAAGTTGTAATTTCTATACTTCTCGTAGTATTAGCTCTCGAAATTCTGACAATTTCGCTACTTGGAAATATCTCAGATTTTTGCATTTAAAAATACAATTAATATAGAGTATCGTTAAAGTAATTATGAAATATACAAATATTGTATATCTAATTTCCTGCCCTTAAACAGCCTTAAGGTGAGATTTAAATTTCCCACCAATGGAAAATCAGTCACCGCATAGACAAATGAAAATATAGACAACGAAATGCTCTCACCGTTTATCTTCGAAAAAAAATCGAATCAGCAGATATCGTCTATATCGTTTAAGGGATTTGAGTGAGAATATTGAAGTCACTCAATTCTAAAACGTTAAAAATAACAAAATCTGTAGGATATTTGTCAGTAGAAAATTGTTTCATAATAAGAGATAAGTAAAATGTACGTGATGACATCAAAAAATTTCGAAATAATCAAGTGAAATTCTTGAAAAATAATAAAATGCGTTTTCGAAGTCGAGTGGGTTGAACGCGTAAATCAGCATGTTAACTATGCAAAACATGATGAGAGCCACCTGGAAAAAAAAGCAAAACTAACTTTTCGTTGTCTATATCTTCATTTGTCTATGGTCACCGATATTTTTTCAAAGTTATCTAAATTTAATTGAGTTCCATGGTTAACTGGGAGAACTTCACAAGCTAAATTAAAGAAAATACTTGACCATACATACATTATGTATGTGGACTGCACTGGTTTTAAGTTCAGATTGGAATTTTGACAGTGGCCCAGAAATAAACTCCACAAAGACAGAACTGGTATTTTGCATTGGTAAGCGGAATCTCCCCATTTTCCCAGAGCCGAATGGAGTGACTCTGGTCTTCAAAGCTAAAAGTTTCCAAATAATCTTTGATTTTATTTTCAATTAATACAAAATTCTTTTAAAACGAATTCTTTAAAAACGAATTCTCAAGCAACTGACTGAGATAAATCGGAAAACCAAGTGTTCGGGTTTGTTATCCGAAACTAGTCGGATTTTCCTCGCACCTCACATCAAGTTGTATCAACAGTACCGCACCAGCACCAATCCTCAACCCGAATATTTTTGGTAAAATCTATATCGCTTTTGTATCTCCTTAATAGACCTTTGTTAGCATCGAACTCTGCAACCCTTAAGTTAGGTTGGTGTTTGTATGTCGGTGACACAACTTCTCAATTATTACATATCCGAAGCTTTTTACAAATGTTTTCTTAATTTTTCCAGGACCTCTTTAACATTTCAATTACATTAATTAATATCCTTTGGTTTTCCTTAGATATGTGACCAAAATTACCGAATTCTCGATATAAATTCAAGATTTTCTGGTCGTACACACGGTTCGTACATTTGGCGACACAGTCATATCAACAGCATTATGAAGCACTCCCAAAAACGTAATCCAAAAACATGGTTAATTGGTAAGTTCTACTCGAAGCAATATACAATATGCATTTTTTAAACTCATTTAAATAAAATTAGCTGATCGTGGTTATCACTTGACATCTGGCCTCATTAATCCGTATCGTAATAGCACTGATCCGTTACAAAGTTCGTTTAATGTGGCCTTAAATGAAATACAAAAAGTAAATTTGAAAACATTTGAAATACTTAGATCGAGATTTAGGTAGGTGGAAGACAATTCATTAATTATTACACATACATTCCTAAATATTTCGTGTATTCATTTTTAGATGTTTGAATACAGTACTTCCATTTGAGCACTGCCAGGCCAGTAATGTAATTACCACATGTGCCACTTTGCACAATTATCTATTGGCCAAATTACAAACAATTGATGATGATTTATTGTATCAATTACCCAAAGTAAACATTTTACCAAATGCCCACCAAGAAGATGCCTTCTCGGAAACAGCTGTTCAAAATCGCGAATTTATAAAAGGCTTCATGTTCAATAATTCCATGCAAGTTCTATATCAGATGCGTAAAAACTCAAATATAAGTTTTGTTAGTAGTAAAGATGACATTGGAAGCATGGTTTGAATGATTTAATGATTTATTTAATTTGATTCTTGTCTGAATTTTACTGTTTTACCTTATCTAAATATTATTACATTTCGTGTTATTTATTACTTGCATTTTTTATGTTTTCTTTTTGTATTAATGTTATTTTTTTGTGTGACGTTTGAACTTTGTTACGTTGAATATTAAAGTGAAGTATTTTAGTTTATTTTTTAACTTTATATGAAAAAAGTAATCGTTTACTTTCAAAATAACATCTCAAATACAACACTGTTGTAGAAAAAACACATCCACCCTAATAAACTGTTTGACAGCTATCATAAAATATGTCAGTGTTTTTGTTCAAAAGGGAAGAGAGAGATAGAGAGGGGGAGAAAAACTGAGAGTGAAGCACATATAGCATCGGGAAATAAACAATAAAAACAAACAAAAAAGCTAAAGTAACTACGTTTCTACCAAACATTTTTGCAAAATAATTAAAACTTTTAGCAAATTAGCTTAAAATTATGTCTTCTACAAATGATTCACAACAATATGAATTTATAAAACGGGAAGATGAATTTATAAAACGTGAAGACGAAGAAATGTCTGCAGGTAAGTTGTGTACGAAAATAGAAAAATACAAAATAAATTTCCTTGTTTTTGTGTGCTTTAGATGAGGACTCCGATAATCGCCAAAATCCCAACAATTATATGCTCAGGGAACAGGATCGTTTCCTGCCCATATGTAATATAATAAAAATCATGAAAATTCCTGTTCCCGAAAATGGTAAAATTGCCAAAGATGCCCGGGAGTGTATTCAGGAATGTGTTTCGGAGTTTATTTCATTCATCACTTCAGAGGCTATTGAACGCAGTATGTCCGAGAATCGTAAGACGGTGAATGGTGACGATTTACTGTATGCCTTTGCCACATTGGGCTTTGATAATTATGTAGAGCCATTGGGTGTATATCTACATAAATTTAGGGAGGTAAGTAATTGGGTGACAACAAAAGAAATTTGATTTGGCATAACTCTAGTCTGATGGTAAAAAGTATAGGATTTTTACCAGAGGTAGATATTTTTGACCTGAATATGAGGCGGAACCTGATATTCAGATATATGACCCAAAAATTCGGGTAAAAATCTTGGTTAAGACTAGATTCCTTTGATTCAAAATAGGTAATATAAATGTCATTGGAAAACCGAAGGAAATAATAAGGAAAACGGGCAAATCGGGATAATTGAAAATACAAAGTTCTTGTACAAAACCAAAGAAAGATTGTTTACCTTCCGAGACGTTATGGGTAATATATGTGTTTGGAAAGTTAGTGGAAATCAAGGGGTTGCTTAAACCATCTCGGATGCTATGGGTGGTGTTGGGTATACACCAGTAGAGAAAATCTTGGCTACTTATAAATATATTATCAAGTATAAAACAAAAACTTCCGGATCGTGAAGCCGGTATTTGACATACCCCGGAGGAAATAAAAACACAAGCCCTATATGAAGGCTGGCTAATTAAAACACATCAAAATTAGTGCAAATGTTTGCCAACAACTGATATGGGCTGTCCACATGAGGAGGCTAGTAACAAGTCTAAACAGCCAGCAAAATGTTCGATGTCGAATACCGGTATACGTGATATGTGTTGGTATCTTTTTAGGCCTTTGAACTACTGCCTTTTGAAAGAAAGTGTCTGGCAACACAAAATCTTAGACATTGTTTTAGCAGTAATACATGTCATGGATTCTGCTAATCTGGTTCTAACTCCAGGTTTAAATATTCGGCTACCTTAATGGGCTGCAACCAGAGATCTTTTGGAGTGAGTTGGGTAGGTTTGGCGGCCCCACTGGGCACAACGACATGATCGTACAATCATCCGCATACGTTACGATCTCTAGGCGGAGGAATTCCGGAAAAGTAGAGGTTTAACAACTCTGGAGATATCACCCCACCTTGGGGAACTCTCTGTTTCACTCTACAAGCATTGGAATTCTTGTTCGGAATTCCACGTACGACTGGCGTCCACACATATAGGTGATTATCCAACGTTTCAATCATGGCCGGAGGGTAGTTCCCTGCACATCCTCAAACAGTGTGGCATGATTGGCCGTATCAAATGTCTTTGATAGGTCAAGGTCTACCAACACTGTTCTATCACACGGCTTGTTCTGGCTCAATCCTCTGCTAATATAGGGTGAGATAAAAACTGCAACGAAGTCTAACGCCATGATTTTTACATTATTTTTTTTTTAATTTTATTGAATAAAAGCAAACAATATCGGAAATAGCATCAAATTTTAGAATAAGTTTAGATCTGTTCGATTTGGTCACCTTTGGCACGAATTATGATTATCAAATGGCCAATGAAACCGTCACACGCTGGCCGAATGTTGCTCTGCGGTTTTTTGGTCAATTCCTGGCGAAGCGCTTGCTGAGTTGATCGACGCTTTGGCATCTTTTAGTGCCAACCTTGCTTTCCAAAATTCTCCAGACACAATAGTCCAACGGATTGGTATCCGGAGATTTTGGTGGCCATGGTGCGCTGGAATTGAAACCATTCTTGGTTGGCGCGTGTTCAGTGCGATGGTGCTGAGTTCTGTTGGAAGGTCCAAGGTCTGCATTCAAAATATTTGCGTGCCAAGGACTCCAGAATATTCGGCATTTGTACTGATGCCACGGTCGATTAATGCGAGCGGAGAGCGTCCTTCGGCTATTATGACGGCCCACACCATCACCATGGCCGGCGCTTGATTTCTGGTGGCCAACCGAAGGTGCACATTTTCAGCTGACCTCTTTGGCAAGTAAACACGATCATTTTGTTTGTTTACAAACTACTGGCTAAATTCCGCCGTTCACCACTTTCGGTTAGGCAATGCAACTATTTACCTCTTTTGAGTCTATTTTCTTTCTGTTGCGGTGTAAGTTCTTGCACTTTTAGGAATTTCAATGGCTTTAGCCCAAGCTCATATTTCAATATTTGTCGAATGGAATATTGCGATATGTTCAACTCACGAGCCATTTTTCGGCCACTGCGACGCTGGTTCCGATCAAGTCGCTTCTTTACTTTTCGAACCGCTTTGGAATTCAAGAATAACTTTCTGGAAAATTCTTACTAAAATGCTTTTGTACGCTTGTAAACAATATAATGAGCTGTAACTAGAATAATTTTAACAGTTGTTGGACCAGTGGCTTAGAAATGACATCAGTCTGAAGTTGGTTGAATTTTTTTCATCTCACCCTGTATATTTTGAAAATGTAGATTATGTCTCAGATCTGACTTCGCAAGGCTCCTCTGAATTTTTTCCATCCCGCATCCGTGCAGGTCCATTCTGAGTCATATGGTCCTTCACACCCGGTATCACCATGATGTCCACTCGTGCAAACACCTTTGGTTTATCTTTTGTTCCTCCTATAATCTGTTGCATTTCTATAATTTGGTAAAAATGTCGGCTAAAGACAACTCTCTTTGAGCTCAAAGTTTCCCCCAACCAAAGTTGCAATAAATGACAGGCATATATGGTATGAATGCAAGGGTGCAAGGTTGTTGTTGTGCAAGGGGTGTGATTTGATTTTTTTGGACGCATAATACTTCTGAGTCAGTCCGAGGTAATACGATTTTCCTTTCATTACTTCATGATTAAGGTGGTAAAAAAGGTATATTTCCATCACTTCCCAAATAATGTGGTACATATTTAGGACTTTTACTTACACTTGGTGCCTTCTTGCAGAACAACCTTGTGTTTTTGCATCAAGATTTCATACCAACTGATAATCGAATTCCCAAACTACTTAACCACAAATATTTTTGTGGCCTTATCAACGTTGCTACTTCTTTAAATATTCTAGGGAATCAAAGATATACAATTTCTTCCCTTTTACTTATTCACATCAACTAAAATCTTTTACATTTATCACTTTACAGGCAACTAAATGCGATCGCAATCTGCTAAGTGAAAATGCCATGATACAAGATGACTCTTCCAGTGATATTCGTAAGACCTGAACCAAAACCTCTTGTCCATACTTCTGTATACAAAACATCACAAATTATGTCAATTTAGTTTTATTTATAAGTTCGAATTTCACATCAAAATTCACACCAATTCAATTCTATTCAGTTTTTTAGTTAAGTCAGAAAAAAAGAAATATTTAATTTGGACAAAAATATAATCAGGGACTTGTTGTCTTTCGTTTTGTTTATTTTTTGTCATAATTTACAATCGATATAAGCTATAATTTTAAGAATATTCACTAATAATTTAGTAAGTATTTTTGTTTTTACAAATATTTTGTATAAGTTCCATCGATTCGACTTCAAATAAAAAACAAACATAGAAAACAAATAAATCTTTAAAATATCCTAAACATGTTGTTTCAAATAACCTTTATTTCCAATAGGCTATAGTGGTGCCTCGAATGATAATATTGTTAATATTAATATGAAACCACACGGCGCCACCGAGAATTCTTTGCAAATCAATAGTACAGAAATAGCTGATAAAACTGCAATAGGTGAGAACGGTATAGGTGGCAGTGCTGGCACTCAAGATAACTCTACATCAGGCACATTAACAAACAATGATTCTGCCCTTGGTGATAATCTACGTAACTTTCGCATATTATCCAATTCAACAACAAATGAGGATCAACAGCAACAGGATAATTCTTCGACATTAGTTACAGCAAATATAACAACCAATGATTTAATCACTTCCAATGCCCCAACCATGTTAATATTCAATGCCGATGGGTTAATGCAACAGAGAATACAATCTCAACCACAACAGGCGCAACAGGAGTTGCAACATTTTGCACAAGCTGGACAAAGTAACAACAGCAATATATTCCATGTCAACAATTGGCCGCAACAGGATAATAAGAGCAGCAATGATTTTTGTACTGATTTTATGTTTTAAGTTGTGTGATATTCAAATAAAGGAATGAGTCTTTTTAAATTTGTCTGATCTTATAATACATTTTATACTTCTCTGTGAGTTTTTATTTTCCAAGGTAATAGTTTGAAAACTTTACTGTCCATTGAGTTTATGCTGGGTTCTTGCAAAGAAAACACCTTCGGCCATCATAGAGATTCCTCTACATTGAAAGTTAGGATACAAGGCGACTAAGGAAAAGTTATTAGGAGTCAGTAATTAATTACGGAGAATATTTGTTAATGTATTGTAATAGCGAAGGAGAATTAAAGCTTTTGAAGACTGAAGTTGTAAATCAGTATCGAAAAGTGTTCGAAAATACAATAAAGTTAGGGAGCGCGAGAGTTGCAAATAAATCAGCAGAGTCTGAAACTAAAATCCAGCAAAACTAACTCAAACTATAGGGAGCAGATAATGCTGTCAGATTTGTAAAATATTGCCCAAAGATTCCATAGTTTATATAATATAAAGCGAGATGATAGACTAGTCTTGGTCTAGAGACTCTGGAACTCATAACAGGTGTCCACTTTCATGGTAGTAACGATGTATGCGGAATATGAGATACATTTATGGAAAGATATGGGCGATCAACACCTTTCTACCAGTAATATTGCAGAATGCATCTGAGTCAGTGTTGGCTATCTTTCAGGAGATTATAAGGCTTTCTTATGTTGTGCTTCGTACCCAGTATGTGAAGAAGGGGTAACGGTGACCTATATTTCTAAAGCTGGGAAACCTAATCCACAGAACGAAATATAACAAGTACATCGCAGCACGCCTATGTGAAGCGTCGGTCAGTGGAGACAGCCCTACCCGAAGTCGGGAAATGAATTAGTAATTACATTTCCACGAATGCGACTTTAATTACATTGACGTTACGTTACAGGTCTGACGGTCAATAAAGACCGTAAGAAAGCCCTCCTTGAGATACTTGAATTTATTAGGTATTGCTGGATTCAGGACGTAACAACAAGTGATTTATTGATTGCTGAAATTGTTAAAAGGAACGATAGCAGACGATTGTATAATAGGGTCAACAACAAGCAACAAGCGTACGGACTGGGAAGCCTATAAGGTCGATTTTAATATGTAAAATAGTGTGTCAATAGAGAGCATTAACGACGCTGCCTTTCAAAGGATCCTAAATCCATTTTTATGGCCTGTCTGCATTTTTCGCGTCACTTACATCCCCATAACTGGGAAACCAAGTCCTGCACTTCCAAAGGAAAGCCCAAAGGACACTCTTTCAAACTTGATGGGCCCCAGCTCCTCATAGAATGGATTAATGTCATGCTTGGCAGCAGAAGCATCAATTCGCACATTGGAGAGATGTTCATCAGGAGATCTGTCACCAGGGCGGTGTTCTATCAGCGTTATTGTAGTTGATAGTCATTAATAGAATATTCAAGGATTTGAAAAAATGGCAGAGTTTTGTATTTGTGTGTGAAGTTTTGTATTTGTGTATTTTTTGAATAAAATAAAATATTTTGAAATTCGACGTTAGTAAAATTTTGGAATACATACATATTGTCCCACAATCGTAGATTCAATTTATGGAATAATCCCAAGATTCAATTCATGGTTTGTGGTTTTCCCCATTGTAAGAATTTTGTTAAAAATCCACCCTTTCTGGTACCTCTCCCACAAAATGTCAACTTTTTCAAAGAAAATAATTTACTGCACAGGAAGAGAAAGGATAATGCGATTTTGCTCCAACTTTGCAAACCCTAATATTTGCATCAGCGCTAGGTCAGGTGCGAAAATGGACAATATCGGTCCTCTCCACGCAGTACTTCCCCCACAAAGTGTCAAAATTCAGAATAATTATAACTCTTACAAAATGTGATGTAAGTGCCCGATTGTCTTCCAATTACACACATTACAATATTTTTATTAACCCATGTTCTGGTGTGAATATGGAATATATCGGTCCAAAAAAAAAAAAAAAAAAGGCCAGCATTAAAGCGCGAAATTAACATCCGATTCCATTCAGACTTGGTACATCTCACTATTTCCATCAACCCAAGATCTGTTATAAAAATTAAAGAGATCAGACTATTTCTTCTGGTACCTCTCCCACATAGGGATAAAGATTCTGAAAAATAAAATGCTCAACGAAAGCGAAATAAGCATCCAACTCTCTTTAAATTTCACCCATCCCAAAAAAAAAAGGCCAACATTTTGAAGCTCATAAAGCGCGAAATTAACATCCGATTCCATTCAGACTTGGTACATCTCACTATTTCCATCAACCCAAGATCTGTTATAAAAATTAAAGAGATCAGACTATTTCATCTGGTACCTCTCCCACATAGGGATAAAGATTCTGAAAAACAAAATGTTCAACGAAAGCGAAATAAGCATCCAACTCTCTTTAAATTTCACCCATCCAAGTATTTTTGCTAACACAAGATCTGTTTTGAAAATAATATATATCTTGTACCTCACCCACAAAGGGTGACATTATTTATATCTGTCACAACTTGCGAAACATGTCGACGATTCTTTACAAATTGCTTTATCTAAATGTTTCACTTAACCGGAAACCTGATATGAATATGTAATTTATCGAAATTTATGATTTCGAAAAAAATTGGATACAAAAATTTGATTTCCTTCAAATTTTGCACATGCCAATATTTTTATATGTATTGAATGAAGTATGAAAATATTTATCTAAAAAGTTGGCACTTATCTCATATAAGGTATGGGAAGCAGTCGATATAGTCGAAATATGGCTCGTTGTAAAATTTATATCAGTTTTGGTCATATACGAATTGGTCAATATGGGCCAACTGGAACCTCTCCTATAAAGGTCAACAGTTTGAATAATCGTAACTCAAGGCTGGGCGTATGCATCTGTCGGCAATACCGACTGATACTATTTTACTTGTTAATTATGTCATTGTAGCCGAGATAATTAATGATTATTTTACAAAATAAAGTAATTTGTTTGTTTTTTATTTTTTATTTATTTATATTTTTTAATATTACATATTTATGCTGTGATGTGATATATATGTATATTTTATGCTTTGTTGTTTTGTAATTCTTTATTTTAAATAATTTCATGATATATAATTTTATATGTATATATATTTAGGTTTGATTTCTTAATAACTATAACATTGATTTATATATTTATTACACGTTGATGATATACTATCTTTATATATATTTTATGTATGATATATGACTATAATTAAGTTTATGTTTCTTATGCTTGTGTGTAGTTTTCTAAAAAAGCTATGTTACTATAGATTAGATTTATATATATATTTGATATATGGGGAAGTGTGATATATCTAAAAAATATTTTCTTCGTTTGCATTTGGAGAATGCAAAACGAATATTTGGAAGTAAAAGTAAATCGTATTATGTTTTTGTATTTATTAAACACATAATATTTAAAAATGGTTAAAGTTTTTTTTTTTGTAAAAGCCTTATTTAAAATTTACAGGTATATCTTTGTTCTTGATGTTTTATTTCATAAAATGATGAAAGAGAATAAACATATCTAATGTTTTAAGGAACTTATAACTTTTTATAACAAGAAAAGAAAACTAAAATAAAAATATAATATAAACTTACATCAATAGAGGAAAACAATTAAATAAAAAAAATGTTGTAAAACTTACATCACTAGCGGGATATTGTTGTCAACGGAAAACTTAGTTCTCTTTATCATTCTGGTTGTGGTTCTTGCAGTATTTGGAAAACATTTTAATTTTGTTTTATGAATTTTAAAATTCATACTTACAGCAGTTATTTTTCACTTGCATTGCTTTAATATTAAAAAAATCATTTTTCTCAATGTCTATCATCTTTCTTGTAATATTTTGATTTATTATAATTTTGAATTTTTTCCCATAAAATTGTTAACTTTAAATTTTTTTGAATTTTAATATTAGTTATTTTTTCTTATTGTGTGTAATATAATATTTATGTACATATAAGTCATATTGTTGTAAAGCTTTAGCTTCTTGTTTCTTACTCAACTATTTGGAAATTATATGTTATTGTGCCATATGTCTATTTAAAAGGGATTTTTGTTTTCCTTTATTTAAAGTTGTGCTTATTTCGAAATATACATATACATGTGTGAATGTATCTAATACGGTAATCATTAAAATTATATTTTCATGTAAGATGTTGTTTTCCAATCGCTATGGACAGCAATTTACATTTACTGCAACACAGTTTTTATTTATTTTTTTAGTATGTGTTGAATCAACAACGAATCTAAAGCTGCCTCCACATTGGTGTAAATCATTTTCAATAATTGTATGTTATTTTAATTGAAATAGTTCAACTTCCTCAAATAAAGTATAGCAGCACGTTGTTGCTATGTCTTAGGCTAAGTTTTGCATTGGAGTCCTTAAAAGTGATAAATTGTTCTCGAAAGCAAACATGGCTTCAGAGTTTGGACTTTTTCTCTGGAAAGGTGAGAACTCTCAGTAAAAGCTGTAATTCAATTTTTATACCCTCCATCTTGGGAAGGAGGGTGTATTAACTTTTTCATTCCGTTTGTAACATCCCAAAATATTCATCGTAGACTCCTTAAAGTATATATATATATTCATAATCAACTTAAAATTCTATGCCGATTTAACGATGTCCGTCTGTCTGTTGAAATCAGGATAGAGCCCACATTTTTTGACGTGGAGCGTCACAATTTAGCAGAACAATTTGTATTGTGTCTAGGATGGTTGGTATTGAAAATGAGATATATTGGTACACGTTTTGGTATAGACCCCATATAAAGGTATCTTTCGACATTCGGTAATTTGTTGATTTTTGCCACATTTTTTTCACGGATTTGTCTAAAAATTGGTATTTGTAGGTTATAATGGGTTCTAGCTCGTGTGGCGAAACATTGTATGTATAGGTCCACGTTTTGGTATACCCTTCATATAACGGTATCTCCCGATATTCGGTGTTTTGATGATTTTTGTATTGAAAAGTTTGTATTTTCAGTTCACAATGGGTTCTAGCCCGGTGGCAGAACATTTAATATTTAGTTGCACGTTTTCCTATAGAGCACATATAACGAAACCCACCGATATTCGGTATTTCGATTCCTAGTCACATTTACCCACACAATTACTTAAATTAAGTAAGGAGCTATTGCATAACATGTTAGATGGAAGGGTATGTAATGTCCCTAAGAAAATTTAGTCTTTAATATTCGGGAAAAGAACAATGTCCCTCATCTCCATGGCGAAACTTGACCGAAAACTTGCGATTACTGTAGGCTCTGCCACAATAAGGAGGAAACTGTAACTTTCGATCATCCAACTGTCCAACTCTTACCAATGTAAGTTACAGGCTTATGGGAGAGCAAGTAATACACAATCTTCCTCCATTCTCTTACAAAGAAGCAGCAGTAACTCTGCAGCATATCCGGCAATGAATTGGCCAGAGGCGGATCTGAGTCAGTAGATCTAGAGATCGATAGCTCAGTGAAGCCACCACTATGTCATTTTTTCCAAGTACTATATGAGCACTGCTTGGGAGATTCTATCAGAACTGGCTGATTAAAAGGGGAAGTAATGGACTCTTGATGGAGTCAGACAGAGGTTACTAGGTAAGCAAATTCTACCCGACTTGACCTCTTTTTCCAGAATATTTAAACACGCTGATTACAACGTGGATGCATTTTCATCCTCTTGGCTTCTTCCTCTATTTCTTGTAACTTTCCCTTCCCTTCTCCTATATTTTCTTTTTACATTGAACTTCTTCTTTTCTAAAAAGGATCAACTCAATGGGCCAGTGAGACCCCAACTGGTGTGGTTGTGTTCAGTTAGCCAGATGTTAAACGTGGGTAAAGACACAATAAATTCTTACTCGTTGCCTCCAATTATTATATTTTTTTCAATCTGTTTCTCCTTTTTCACTTTTCTAGATTTAGGATGAACACAGAACAAGAGTACATCAATCACCTTAAGCCAACATGACCCGATCCGATCATAAGTCATGCATTGATTAGGTTAATCTCTCCCATTCAAATTTATGGAAGGCAGGTCTGAAGGCAGACGGTTAGGAACAAAACATGGTTGTCAATGCCAAAAATATTGTGAAAAGGACGGTTTCACTACCGACACAACTGTAGCAACCAGGAATACCTCACAATCTGCCATAAATGTGGTCCAAAACCTTTAAACTTTGTATAGTTTTTTATTATTTCTTTTTGCAGAGGTGTTTTGCGTTACTCAGTGACATGACCCATGCACAAATGCCATACGTAACTGTGAATCGCAATATTTAAGATGGAAGTATTGAAGCTAATAAACATGATTTTACAAAACAGTGAATCTCTGGACTGGAAGTGAATGTCCTTAAAAACGGTCATGAAACATATACGGACAGTTCCAAAATATACGAAGGCACTGGTACCGTTTGTGTTACATGTCTCTTACTAGACATAAAAAACTCTTACGAAATTGTAGCCACCAGGTAGCCACCAACGCTGGTTCTTGAAAATATCATCACGTAAGACCTTAAGCCGGAGTACCGTAATTTGAAATATGCGGCAGAGAATGAAGTCACGCCATAGACCTCTGGACCCTCGGTGTCTTCTGATGTTCAATTAAAAAATCTGCAACAACTAGGAGTTGTATGATCTATTTTCAAAAGATGTTGCCAGTAACCATTAACCATCTGACATTCTGATCGAGAGCGACGGCATAGGTCATCTGTACAAATTATGTCTATCAAAACGATGGATTTACAACGGAAGAATGTACTGCTTCAAGGAACTGTCGACTTCTCCATTTGGCCGGTTATATCACGACCTTACTCCTTTCAACTCATACCATTGCCAGAATTGCTGGAACAGTAATTTCAAGATGCCATGAAGTTCCACGTCACATTGGTGGAATGGAAGCGATGTAGATTTTTGCCGATTATACGCGTATGAGGTGCAGATGGAGGCACTGCGGCCAGGAGATATAGAGCTAGGAGTTCGATGTTAGGCACTCATAAAAATAAAACAAGAACTGTTGCCTTTCCAACACGAAAATTCGATTTGGCTGGATATAAAACGGCATAGGAATTTTTCCTTATCCTCTCCAAGATCAAAATTACTGTAGGAGCCATTTTGTGGCACTGTTCTCCGTATGTTTCATGTCATATTCGCGCTGTGGAAGGGATGTTAACTTCTGTCGGTTATACACCGACGAGGTACAGATGATACGATGAGTCCGATGTTAGGTACTCATTCAAGTTGTTGCCTTGAAAATTCTATATGACCGGTTATAAAACGGAATAGAACTTTTCATTATCCTATAAAAATGCCAAGATCAGAATTGCTGTAGGAGTCATTACAGGATATTGTCCACCGCATGTTCCATGTAACATAGGAGCGGTGGATGCGATTTTGACTTTTGGCGGCTATGCGCCAATCCGATGTAGTGGAAATGGCGGCGGAAGAAGACACTGGGACCCGCTGTTGCGTTTTCCAAGGGGACAATTCTAGACTACCCATCATTCCAGGATATATTGTTGAGATGGAAGTAATGTTGACTTCTGGAGATAAACGAAATCGAGCACCGACTTCGCTTGTGTTTAATGTTCTACAACACTAGACACAAGTTAATATTTATTTCATCTATCAAACATGAACTCCCTAAACAATAATGGTCTAAAACTGGACTTCCTAAATAGTCCCCAAATGGCTTTGGCGAAATTACTCAGAGGGCCTCCAAGGCTCTATTCCGTCCACGGATTGGCACTTACAATATATCACCATTTCCATCATCGTCCTTGGTCATTTCCATCTCCTTAATTTTCTGATCACTTCCTTCTATTGAAAATTCCTTGACTTAATCATCATTACCTTCATCATCATCATTCGTCTTGGCCATAACATTCTTCGAAATCTTCATAATAGCTACTATCATGATCCTCAAGATCATTGGGCGATATCAAATGGCGTACCAGTGAACCCTGGCTACTACTGCCACGACTATTCTCAGCAGCCGGTGCACCGACGCCAATCAAAAGACCAGGTATAAAATCAGGCAATGGCGGGTTATTATTATTATTACCTCGCACTTCTTCAATGCTTGGCTGATGCACATGCTCTCCAAATTCGCTGTGATGTTGTATCTGATCGCTGTGACCCAGACACAATGTTGGTATTGCCTCTGATTTAAGAACATAATTCACATCAAAACATGCCGGAGTAAAATGTCGTCGACAAATTCTATAGTTGTCCACACGATATTGATTAAAATCCAGTTTTAAATTAACAAACCATTTCTGACATAAATCCAAGCGTAGGGGAAATTTATACAAGGGCATCAGCGGCTGTATACAGCCATATACCAGACACTGTTCGCTGGGCGGATCATTGTGATGGATAAAAGAGTTGTCGGGCAAATTTAAATTCAATGTGGGCACCGCCCAGCTGTGCAGCTTCAAGTCACCATCACTGAAACAAATTGCCTCAAAATGTTCGCTACAAATGGCATACTGGTTTTCTTTGTAATTTCGAGGATCGATTTTAAGATTGAAACACCATTTTATGAAAATTTCCGAATCGCTGGGAAATTCAGTGTAAAGTTTTATGCCACGTGTTTCAGAGGTATTTGTACATTTGTTCACACAGCAAAGATAAATGTGGGATTTAACTTCGGATATTACAAGGGAGGGGAATGATGTCTTTGGCTCGGGTTGGTTTTCAGTTTCATTTTCCGTTGGGTCTGGTGGTTGATAATAATTATCGTAATTCTGATGATCGGTTTCATCTATTTCAATTATTTCCTCTTTAATTGTTTGCGATGCAAATAATTGTGATTGATCTTGGGAATGTTGTTGATGTTCTTGTTCCAAACCATATTGATCCTCAATGAGTTCCTGTTTAATGGCAATGTTATTTGTTTCCTTTGACGTCTCAAAACAATAATCATGATCACTCCAACCAAAAGCATTGGCATTGTCTTCAATTTGTTGCTCATCATAATCTGGAAGTTCTTCTTTAACGAATACATTTGTGCTGGTCAAAAGGTCCTCCTCATCATTGTCGAAGAAAGTCGAGCCCAATTTGAGAGTGGGTATGGCATCATCAGTTAGTTTCTTCTGTTTGGTAATAAATTTGTAACGAAAATGTAGGCCACATATTTTAGTTTCATCCGCTTGGAAATTTTCACATTTTACATTTTCTAGCCATTTGTTGAGTTTTTCGGGATCTGAGGGAAACTTGAAGAGTCGGGTTCGGGTTATTGTTTGCAGACCTTTACTATTTACACAAGATTCCACACAACATTGCCCCTGGTAGGCACATTTATCTTCTGGACTATTTTCATAGATATCTTTCACCCGTGGCAGATTAAGGGTCGGTATTGCCCACGAATATATGGAACGGGCATTGTAACAATAGCTTTCAAAGTGACGGCTGCACACTTTATAGTAGTGCAATTTCGATTTTTCCAATTGATCATAGTCCATGGCAAAATTGTGGCACCATTTCCGAGCTAGGCCTTGAGAGCTAAAGGGGAAATGATGCAATCGTATATCGTTGCTCGTTTGCGGTACTGTACAAAGATCAGTTGTACATTGCGGTACCATACAACGTTTGAAGACAAATTTACATCTAGCCGATATTTCTTTATAGGTTTTAAGTAAAGCCTGCAGTTCCTTTTGATGTTCCCCGGGATTGCCAATCATCTCATTGATGTGATCTTCAAATTGCTTGTAGAACTTGTAAAAATGTTCATCACAAAAATAAACTTCTTCTATTGCTGTGGGTTTATTTTGATTAGGCATACTATCCAGCCATAATTTCTTGAGATTTGCAATTTCTGGACACTTGTATAGCCCCGCCTTAGGTTGTTTACATTCGGGATAACTACATTCGTGTCTAGCACTGACCACACTTTTCTTTGCGGAGGCACATTTATCTTCAGGAGTATTTTCATAAATATCTGTGCCCTGAGGCAGATTAAGAGTTGGCATTGCCCATGAATATATGGAACGGGCATTATAACAATAGTCCTCAAAATGACGACTACACACCTTATAATAATGCATTTTGACTTTGTCCAATTGATCATAGTCCATGCCAAAGTTATGACACCATCTTCGAGCTATGGTCTGGACTTGAGAAGGAAAATGATGCAATTTAATGTCGTTGTTTGTCTGGGATGCTGTATAAAGATCTGTGGTACATTGTGGTACCATGCAACGTTTGCCAAGGAATTTACATCTCGAGGATAGTTCCTTGTAGGTTTTAATCAAAGCCTGCAGTTCTTGCTGGTGATCTCCTGGATTGCTGGAGAGTTCATTGATATATTCCTCGAATTGCTTGTACAACCTATAAAAATGTTCATCGCAAAACTGCAGCTCTTCATTGGGTTGTATTTTAGTGCACATACTTTTGAAACATAACTTTTTGAGATTTTCAATTTCCGGCCACCTATATATCTGGGCCTTTGTTTGTTTACATTCAGGATAGCTGCATTCACATCTAAGGGCTGTAGCACCTTTCCTTGCTGCCCTTTTATCAACTTCTCTAATTTCAAAACCCAAAAATGCTTCCTGCTTGATGGCATGTAATTTGGGTAGAGATGTCAATGCAAACGACGTGCTTGGGGTACTTCTTTCCAATTCCATGTCTGATGTTATAATTTCAAACAAAGGTTTATTCTCCGGTTCTGGTTTTACGGGCAAAAACTTTTTGGCAATCTTTCTCTTTTTGGTATTTTCCAAAATTGTAGGAGTACCAGACTTTTCCTGTTGCCTTTTTTCTTTGATAAAGTTCACCAGGGGTTTATCGTCATCATCCAACAGGTTTTCTTGGTTTAATTTAGTCTTTACTTTTGTGGATTTATTGAGGATTTCTGTCTCCTCTAGATTTTCCTCTTTTTTCTTGTTTCTTAATTCTTTTGCGGATATATCTTCATTTTTCTTTGGTTGTCTTAATTGTTGTACCTTTTTAACCACGCCTTCTATAGCTTTCTGCTCCTCCTGAATCTTTTTCCTGAAATCCCTTCCCTTTTTCGTATTTTTTGCAATCATTTTCGTTTTACTCTTTTCCATTTGCCGTGGATTCTTAAAAATACGAGTACTGTGACCCAAATTTAAAGTGGGCACAGCTGTGGACCTTAGCGCCCCAAATGCATTCAGGCATTTATTTTCAAAATGCTTTTCACATATTTTCAACATTTTCCGTTCATCTACGTCGTTTTGTTTTATTTTCAAATTAAAGTACCATTTCTTGAGTAGAATTTTCTCTTTGGGAAATGTATACAAATGTGACCAGGGTCCCTCGCAGACGGCAACACAGCATTTTCGTCTAAAGTTTCTTTTTGGATTTCTAAACAATTCCTGCTTGGGACATTTGACACCCAACGTGGGCACAGAATCTTTGCGCAATATTTTCAACTTTGCATGGAAACATTCATTTTCAAAATGCCTAATGCAAATACGCATACTTGGGCGATATTGGTTGCGTGGGATTTTGAGATTATGTAACCATTTTAGAAACACCGACAAACGTGAAGGAAACCTAAATAGGTGTAAACTCTCGGCTTTATTTTGCAGCTCCTGGCATATGCAACACACAAACATGTCCACTTTGTGTTGGGGATTATTGTACAAATCGGGGCTATTATTGTGACTTAGATTCAAGGTGGGCACAGCCCAGCACTTGAGTTTAACAATTTCCCCCTCTTCATTGTGAGTTAAACAATAGCTCTCGAAATGTTGGTAGCAAACCCTCAGATTCAAAGTACATTGCTGGGGCCCTAAATTCAGATTATGTATCCACTTTCTTATCTCCAAAGTCTTGGTGGGAAATTTAAAGAAAGGTCCAACATCAGTGTTACACGATGCCACACAACAATGTTTCAGGTTTTCATGATGCGAGGGCAATGCCTCCGGCGGATTAACATATAAACTTAAATTGTAAGGCAATGCCAGGGTGGGCAAAGACCAGCGATGCAGCTTTTTCTCACTGAAACAACGATTCTCAAAATGCAATGCACAAATGCGATATTTGGAACGTTCCGCAGCAGGGAATTCCACCGAGCTATTGTGTAGCCATTTTTGCAGCAATGACTCATCTTTGGGAAATTTAAATAGTTGTATATTTAAATTGAAACCAGTCTTGCATTGCGGCACAGAACACCTGAAACATTGTAGCTCGGTTAGGTTTTTTAGATTTTCATAGAGTTGCCTAAGCCTCGGTATGTCCTCACAATTCAAATCACCATAATAGCTTATGAAATGTACACAACACATATATTCTACATCATTATTTTCTATGTTCGATTTCAATACTTGTAAACATTTAGCCTTAAACTGCTCCTCCTCCTCCTCTGCAACGCCACCTCCTTCGGCTAATTTAAAACATTGATAATTTAACCAATAACTACAATTAATTATACAACATTTCTGTATATCATTATTGTGGATATTTTCAATATCGCTATGTCCCAAATTCAGGGTGGGCACTGAACCCATTAACAGATTTTGTTGTTTATCTATACAACGAGTTTCGAAATGATTACTACATACTCTTAGATTTTTTAGTTCTTTATCCTCACAATTTAGTTTTAGATTAAAAAGCCATTTGTCAATGTCTTCCTTTTGTTTGGGAAATTTAAACATTTTCCTATCATCTCCATCTTCGACTTCCCCTCGCTGCTGCTCGATTGTGGTATCCTCACCACTGTTATTTTCCCTATAATTGCAATTTGAAACACAACACTCATGACATATCTCTTCGAACAGCTCATCATCGTTCTGATAAAACCATGACTTGGCTTTTAGACATTGGGTGGGTATGGCATTTTCATGTAAATTACCCTGTCGCAGACACGCCTTTTCAAAATGCCTTTGGCAAATGCGTGTCGTCTCCAAATCAATATCGTGGGGTAAATTTAAATTGTGTAACCATTTTTTCAACAACTCCTTGGATTTGGGTAGTTGAAACAATTTCACCTTATCTACACTGCTGGATTTTTGACAACTTTCGACCACACATTTACCACTGTCATCTTCGTTTTCAATTTTTATTAGAACTTTTTGTGTATCCTCCTCCTTTATGCCCAAATTCACCGAGGGCACTGCATTAATCTTCAATATGTTTGTGCCCAATTCAAAACTATCCACTGTGAAATGCTTCTCACACAGCTTATAGTGATTGCTCAAGGCCTGCCTCAAGGGTATTTGTAAATTATTACTCCAAATGCGACGTAGTTCGGAATTTTTGGGAAAAGGAAAAAGTTGTTTAGGCGAGTCACGATTCTCGCAGGAACTTATACAGCAAACATCTTTGGGTTCTAGGCGAATTTTCCGTCTTAATTTGGCATCGTTTTTGATTATACGCTCGTTGTGGCCCAAATTCAAGGTGGGAACGGCACCGGCCTTTAGATATTTTTGTTTATAAAAGGCATACGATTCGAAATGATGATTGCATATTTTTAAGTTGTCATCATGTTTGGCAGCTGAGCGACCAAATCTCAGATTTATACACCATTTTCTACGCATATTACTGCCACGTTGAGGGAAGCCTATTAGAAATGTGTTTGTAATGGGATCTTCTTGGACACCACAATGAGCCAGGCAACAATGGGGTTTACTATCACCACTGCCACTAGGAGGTGATTTTCTTTCATCACTAGTTTGTGTTTTATCAGCACAAATTTCTTCCTCTTCTTTCTTGTCATTTGTTCCCGATAGCTTAACAACCTGCTCCCCCTCTCCTTCTTCTTTATTTGCACTTTTTCTTTTGACATTCCTCTTCAAATACGGCACAGCATCCTCTTTTAGTTGGTCAGTTCCTTCCACAAAACACGAATCCCGAAAATGCTGTCTGCACACTTTTAATGGCCTCTGAACAATTTCGTTCCTCTTTATTCTCAATTTTCTAAACCATATTTGCCTCAACTCTTTATCTTTGGGAAAGGAGTAGCGTTTATACTTTTCCACGTTTTTACAGTTACTAACACAGCATTTGTGTTCGCGACGGGAAATATTTTTAATAATACGATCGTTATGGCCCAGATCAATGGTGGGCAATATGCCACGTTTTATTTGCATATCCTCTTTGAATGCCCGCTCCTCGAAATGATGATTGCATATCTTAAACTCGCCAAAGTCTTTAAGTTTTTGTGACAATTTAAGATTCAAACACCATTTTTTGAGGGTATTGGGGGTATTTTGTGGAAAATCAACAAGAAAGGTGCCATTTTCGGGGTCCTCTTGCCGTTTGCAATGCGGCAAGTAACAACATGGGATTGTGGGGTTTACATTTTCTTTTGATTTTTCACACGGCGTGCCTGTTGGCTGGTTCGCTTCAACATTTACCTCATCTTCTTTTATTTCCTCTTTCACAGCTGTTGCTTCCGCCAATTTTAATGTTGGTACAGCATCAATTGTCAAATCCTTGCAGCTGTCATCAGCAAAACTCTCCTTCGTAAAATGTTCCGCACACACCTTGTAATGACCATTGAGGGCTTGACTCATGTCAATTTGCAGATTATTACACCATGTATGTCTTAGTTCAAAATTTTTGGGAAATGGAAAAAGTTTAACTTCTTCCTCCCGCTGCTGGCACTGGTTGACACAACACATCTCCTTGAGACCCAAACCTCGTATTTGACGTCGAATCTTAGGTGCATTTCTTATTATTCTACCTTCATGGCCTAAATCCACGGTGGGTACTGCTCCAGATCGCACATGTCTATCTTTGTAGAAGGCACACGGTTCAAAATGCCGATTACACAGCTTAATTTGAAGATATCTAAGTTTTTTCCTGCCCAATTTCAAATTGAAACACCATTTTCTCTGCAAATTCTTGTCGTGCTGTGGGAAATTTATGATGAAGGTGTCCTGGTCTTCTTTCCGCCGGCAATGCTCCAATGAACATTGAGGTTTATTTGTAATTAATATATGTTTGTCTCTCCGTTGTTTAACTTTGAACACTGGCGGAGTTTGCGTTTCATTCAAATCCAATGTGGGTATTGACTTGGGTTTTAGCAAACCATCCTTACGCATCAGGTATGGTTCAAAATGGTTGGAACATAACCTCAATTTTGCCAGGTTTTCAGTATCCTCTGGTATATCTAAATTGGCACACCATTTCTTTAGAAGTTCTGGATGTTTTACGGGGAATCTATATAGCTTTGGTGGTTCATCCCCCGGCGCCATCTCTGCGGTTAGTTTCTTGCGTCGACAATGTTTGAGGCAACATAGCCGAAAAACCGATTGCCTACCCGGTTTTGGTGTACCATAGGGAGGTGGTGGTGTTAATATTTGTTCACTATCACCTGCTCCGATGGATTTGGTTTCCTGGTCTCCAAGAAAACTTTTGATTTTACTAATTTCATCGTTGTTATGCTGAGCCACACGCGATGGACCCAATTTCAAAGTCGGCACGGCACCGGGTTTAAGTCTTCGTGTACCAATTACCCGTAATTCAAAATGATCGATGCAGACACGTCCTATACACTCTTCGGGTTGTAGTCCCAAATTGTCACACCATTTTTGCAGGAGTTGTGGATCCTTGGGGAAACCATAGGTGGTCAAATGTTGATCGGGTGTCTTTTCTCGACCGCAATATTTCAAACAACATCGAGGAGCAATATTATTTATTTTACGATCCGTGCGAAGAGCAGTAGTTGTTATGTTATTTGATGTGGCTGTGGTGATTGTGGTACTTGTGGAAGAGTTTTCATCTATATATTCGGAAGAATTCATGCCAGCTGCTCCATTAAAACTGGCTGGTGTCTCTGCTCTCAAGTCTCTGAAACTACTTGCCGGTGTTATTGAGCGTTGATCTCTACTGAAGGAGGATCTGGAGGACATATCTAAAATATCTTCTGGAGTCAGAGGTACCAGAGTAACACGTACCTCCTTCAAATTCAATGAAGTCCACGGCTGTGAGGTGCCACGTAGACGAATTTTCGACAGATCAATTTCTTCCTCTTCCTCCTCCTCCTCATTCTCTTCATCCTTCTCTTCAGATTTGTCCTTCTCTTCATCATCATAATCACTGTCATCCATTTCATCATATTCGTCCATTTCATAGTCCGCATCATCATCATCATTATTATCCACCAAATAACCATATTCAAAATCATCATCTTCAAATTCCACTTCATCCTCGTCTTCGTCTTCGTCCTCCTCCTCTTCGTCAATCAATTCCATTTCATTTCCTCCACCATCTTGAAGCATACCATCAGCATCTCCATTTGTCTTGCCATCCTCTCCAGTTGCCATTGACTTCATTTGAATTTTCTTCAATAGCTCCTTATTGTCATAAGGTAGGGGATTCTCATCATGACCCAAATTAATTGTTGGTACTGCTCCATTTTTCAATTTCTTTTCCCCAATAACTTCTTCCTCAAAATGCTCCGAACACAAACGACCCTTGCATTGTCCAACATCCAATTTTAAGTTTTCCGCCCACTTCTCTAAATACTCGGGCACCTTGGGAAATACAAATGTTCTGGTATCATCGTGGGACACTTGGTGATTTTTACAATGTGGCAAAATGCATTTCTTTAACATCAAGGGGTTTTGTAAACGTCTGGGATTATCGAAAATAGGCTCGGCATGACCCAAATGCTTTGTGGGCATGGCCCAGGGCTTCAACGTTTTGCCATCCAAGCAACGCTTATGGAAGTGCAGGTTGCATACCTTTAGATTTTGTAACTTTGCAGCCTTGTTCGAGGGTACCTGTAAATTATGCAACCACTTGCGTCGCATTTTCTCATGGCTGGGCAAGGAATAGAAACGTACTCCATGTTTAAGCCGGGATCTTCGGCAGGTGGGTACAAAACATTTGATAATGTCCAATGATTTTTTAATCTTCACTTGTTTTAATGCAGCTTCGTTACTCGCCGAGGTTGCGTCGTCGTCATAAACTTCCTTTTTGATGGTGGTCCTATTGTAAAACTCTGGTGTCTCACTGTGACCCAGATTAAGCGTCGGCACAGCCCACGATCGTATACGCAAACTGCCGAAACATTGCTTCTCAAAATGCTTCGAACAGATCTTATAGAGAGGTGTTAGGTGTCGTGACATTTTCAAATTTGCACACCATTTCTTGAGCATATCATCGTCGGAGGGAAAGTTGAAAAGTTTCACACGACTCATGTCTTTCTCCTGCGAATTTTCACAATTCTCTACAGCACATTTTATTATCTGGGGGCCAATCATGCGCCTATCAAGTCGAGTTAGATCCGGATTTTTGTAAATTTTCTCCGTTGAAGATTTCAATTGCAATGTCGGTATGGCCCAGGGTCGTAGACGTTGGGTCTCTGTTATGCAGTAGGTTTCGAAATGCAACGAACAAACTTTATTCATATAACGACGATGCTCATCGGGTATAATGCCTGTGTTGTGGCTCCATTTCTTGGCAATTTCCTTGCCATAGGGAAAGTAGAACAGACGCAATTCTGATTTCAAAATGCTCGAATTGCAGCCCTCAACGCGACATTGGAAACCATTGATCAATAGAGACATTTCGGATTTTTGATAGGCCATAACAAGATTTGCGTAGTCGGCTTTTACATCTTCCTTTTCTTGATCTTTTAACAAGTCCATTTTATCTTTAAGTTTGCGGAATATTTCCTGAAAATGTAATCCACATAGCTTGCTTTCCATTGGTAATTTTTCCTCACGACCTTCGTTGATTCGTTGGCACCACAGTTGTCTCAATTCCTCGGATTCTGGCAAATCATAAGGCTCTCTCATCAGACTTTTTGGTCCATGACACTCTTCTACACAACATTCAGCCGGAGTGCTCAGGGGATCCAACAGCTCATCCCCTGCCGCCTCATCTTCCTCGTCCATGTCCATATTGTCATCTCTTTCCTGTTGACGCTCCCTCCTTTCTTCCAGTCGCAATTGTTGACGTTCCATACGTTCAATATCCCGCTTCTTGATAAACAAATTTGGACGTATGCGATCGGGATTGATTTTGTACAAATCCTCAGTTTCATCATGACCCAAATTAACGGTGGGTATGGCACCAAAATTCAATCTTGTTTTACCCACACAAATCGGCTCAAAGTGATCGTTGCATATTTTGTATTTTTCTCGTTCCTTAAAGTCAAGGAAATCTAGCTTCAGGTTGTGTTTCCATTTGCGGAAAAGTTTCAAATGTTTGGGGAAGCTGTTCATTTGGGCATCATCATATTTTCGAGTCTTGCCGCAGTTGGGAACACAGCATTTATAGATAAACTCCCCGCTGCGTTGATCAGGTGGAGGATTTTGTATAATCTCCAGTTCCTCTTCGTCGTCGTCCTTGTTGTGACCCAACTCCAACGTGGGAATGGCCCACTTATACAGCAGTTTTGGTCCTTGGCATTCAGTCTCGAAATGCTTATGGCAGATCCGTACACCCACACAGTCCATGGGATTCATTTTCAAATTATGGCACCATTTAGCCAAGAGCTCTTCATCGTCACGTGGAAAACGATATAAACGCATATCCTCTCCCTTTCGTGAATCGCAGCCCTTGACAATGCATTTTTCCAATTCAAAATATGAACGTTTCTCATTCGGATACAGATCGTCGGAATCATGTCCCAATTTCAAGGTGGGTATAGCACCGGGAGATATACGCCTACCACCCACCGAGTGAGGTTCAAAATGATCCGAACAAACCCTCATAAGGGTTGTCAGTTTACCCTTGGGCATATTTTTGATGTTGTGACGCCATTTCTGCATTAACATACGGCTGTTGGGGAAACGGAAGAGCACCACACCATCCACTTTTGTTTTGCGACATGTCTCGACAACACACTGGCGCTGAGTTCCCCCGATTCGAGGCTGCTTCAAACGAGCCGGGTTTTGATAGATTTTATAGCCCGGATGGTTGTTGAGATTAAGTGTGGGCACAGCAAAGTTCATCGGACAACGTTTGGTTAGGACCGATGGCTCAAAATGAGTGGAACAAATGCGTCGATGAGAACTTCCCACCAACGGCAGTTGGATATTGTGACACCATTTGGCCAGTGTCTGTCTATTGGCGTATGGAAAACGGAATAGTTGAACATTATCATGAATGCGTGTTTTGCGACAATGGGGCAGGCAACAACGCGGCGACCATTTAATCAATTCATGTTTGGAACCACCAATACGCTCTGATTTTTCCTTCTTTTTGTACACGACCTGTGTGGGCGGAGGATTTTCGAATAAATGCTCCACTTTAGAGGCCAAATTCAATGTGGGCATTGCCCAGTTCAGCAAACGCTTGCCAATGCAATGCGATTCGAAATGCAAGTTACAGATTTTCAATAATGGCAGTTGGCCAGCATCAACTTGCAGATTGTGGGCCCATTTCAATAATTGCTCAGCATCCTCGGGAGGCCGATACAGTTTGATGTCGTCGATTTGTGGATTACGGCGACACGTTGAGACACAACATTCTCCCTGTTCATCACCATTGTTGGGTGCAAACGGTTTAGTCCAATGCTCGGCGACCTCTTCCTCGGACGGCAATTGATGGGTTATATCATCATAGCCTAAATTTATGGTGGGTATTGCCCACTTTTCTAAACGTTTATTGCGCAAACATCTATCCTCAAAGTGCACCTCACACACGGCGTCGTTGAAAAGCTTGGTGCCATCCGGTACGGGCTTCTGTAAATTCTCACACCACTTCTGCAGTAACTCGGGATGCGTTGGGAAGCGATGCAAATTAGCATGATCGCGATCACGATTCCTTTTGCATGTCGGCACGCAACATGTTTCGCGTATATTTAATTTTTTGATGACATCGGGATTACGATATATGTTGGGATCATCATGACCCAGTTCGAGGGTGGGTACAGCAAATGGCCTCATGCAGCCACCAATGCAATAGCTCTCGAAATGGGCACTACAAATACGTACACTTTTGTGCAACTTTTCCAAGTCCATTTTCAAATTGTGACACCATTTCTTCAATTGCTCCGGTCTCTTGGGCACGGTATGCAAGGTTATATTATCCGTGTGGCGGGTACGCTTGCAAGTTGGCACCAAGCACACATCTCCTAAATCTAAGGCATTACTTTGTGCTGCACCACCACCTAGACTAGAGATCTTTGTTGCCATTGAATTCAAAAAGACGTCATCGTATAGCGCCGTTGATGATCCGGACATTTCTTGTTGTTGCTTCAATAGCTCGGCAAACTTCTTGGCCTTGGAGGAAGTTGAAGCCTGTGACGAATTTGAAGATGGTAAGGGTGGTGGCGGTGTATACAATTCATTTTCATAAATATCAAAGGTATCATTGTGTCCCAAATTCATGGTAGGCACTGCACCCGGATTCAGTTTTCTTAAACCTAAGGCCTCTTTGACGAAATGAGATGAACAAATTTTATGATTTTTACCCCGATACATTTCGGGATCTAATCGTAGATTATAACACCATCTTCTCAGTAGAGTTTCATCGCGAGGGAACCTATACAGCGATAGGTTGCAATCATAGGAACGACTACGTCTACAAAATGGCAAAAAACATTTCTTTTCTTCTTGATAAATATTCGGATTGTCATGTATCTTGCCATATACCGTACCCAAACGCAGTGTGGGTATAGCCCAAGGCTTGAGGCGAAATTTGCCAAAACATTTCTCCTCAAAATGACGCGAACAAAAGAAACGATTCTCTTTGCTGTGTATGGGCAGACGTGAATTCTGACACCATTTTATTAGAGTCTTTAAATCTCTGGGGAAACTATGGAACTTAACATTGGTTTCACCCCTCTGCGATAGACAACCAGGCATATAACAACGAGCCATTTCACCCGAAGGAAACCCCCCAGAACTCTCGCGATTTTGATATAAATTACCCACATCATCATGGCCCAAATTAAATGTTGGCACCGCCCAATAACTCAGCGAATAGCGAGCGATACAACGCTTGGGAAAATGCAAGCTGCACACCCGATATACACCATAATTGACATTTGGATCATAGGACATTTTTAAATTATGTAACCATTGCATTAGATATTTTTCATCTCGTGGGAATGGAAAGAAGTTTAGGGTGGGTGATGTGAATTTTCTCACGCCACATTTCGGCACACAACAGTAGGCATCTTCATCCTGTATAGCTTCGGAGTTTCTGGAACTCTTCTTTGTTGGCGTGTTCGTACGTTGCAGATTAAATGAGAACGACGAGTTCGTGGAACTCGATGCATTATCATGATAATCTTGTAAAAACGTAAGATTTTGATTGGAATTTGTTGTAAACTCTTGAGAATTTGATGAATAGTCATTGTCGAATCCAAAATCGGATTGATCCATGGGTGGATAAAAATCAGGTTCCACTTTAATTTCAGTTTTAATCTCGACCTGTGGTGCCGCAAAATCCGGTATATCATCGTAATTGTCAGCTGCCGCACTTGTTGTGGGCGAAGAAGACGAGTGGGCGCTATGTAATGCTGACGTCAAGTGTTGATGTTTTGAAGACAAACGTGGTTTTGATGTATCTGTAGTTTTCATGGAGGTTATATCTGAAATAGAGTAACAAAAGGGGTTAAAATATTTGATCATTTTCTTTTGACGGGTGCTTTGTTACCTTTTATTAGGAAGCTTGTGAGATTCTCTGTGCGATTCGTTGTAGTTGGCTGCGTTGCGGAATGTTTGTTGGTTTTTGCAAAGCACTTAAGATTTTTGAACTCTGGAAAAGAATAAATAAAATAGATTTACATTAATATCAAGGACTGGATTTGGAAGATTATAACCAGAAATTAAGTCAATGAGTTTTATGGTGTACATATAGCAGCATAAAATCTTATCACAGGAACCTCAAAAGATAAACATGACTACGGTTTACTCTGTATACAATTAAAGGCAGCGTGAAATGCTATGAGTGTGCTGATACCGAATATGTTACGGACATGTCAGCTGACATCGACAATAAACCTCGTGACTTTCGCAATAAATAGAATTTGTCCCACTCTAACAAACTAGAAATCTTGGGATTCAAAGCAAAGTCTTTCCTATAATGAAAACAGCAGATTTGATGGGACTATTCAGAAACCTTCTTTAAGTGAGAAACCAGACAACTTGCTACAATCGTCCAGGTGTAAGGTATCAAATTAATGTGACAGGACAGGATCGTAGTGAGCAATGAATGAATAATATGAATCCAGTAAGTGTTTTATACGTAATAAAATTCCTTATATATATAAAATTATAGCAACACAATTGCACATAGACCAAAAATGGCTCACGTGGACGCTCTGTCAAGAATTGTAGCTACTTTAGAGGCAGAGTATATCGATTATCAATTATGCGCATTTCAGGCTATAGACAGGGAAATATGTGATTTGAAATTAAGATTGGAAGAGGAGACCGTGAATGGATAGGCCTATTTCTTCTGCTTATTGTTGTCGTTATTTGGAAAATTTCGCGTGACTCTTCTTTGTATAGGATACTATTTTCCTGTCAAATAAAACTCCTTTTTATATCTCCTGTATTAGAAGGTTTTTATGTAAAGACTCAGCAAATCGAGCATATCAGGGGATGTCTAATTCCTTGGCAGTTTGCACTTTTGGAACTAATGAATTTTACGAACACTACTACAATGAGACAGTGAAAAGAGCCGCATCCTTACTGACAACCGGAGCTCACAAGTGCCTTCTTCAATTTGTATGGAATGTAATGCTAAACTACAAGCCATTTTATATTTTTGAACTATCAATTTTCACTTTCCACCTTTTTCGACATTAATAATATTGACGTAATAACAGCTGATATGAACGCTGGGGCTCCTCTAGATGGTCTGGCTATCTACACACACAGTTCCAAGATAGATAAATGTACCGGTGCTGGCGTATTCTGCCCTAATTGTTATATGATCATGTAAATTTAATGAAAACGTTGTTATAGCAAAACAGGACCAGTGACTTTATTTGTCGGGCCTGGAAGCTATCAAATCTAGTTACATTAAAATGGAGACCAACCTTGATGCAAGAAAGCGTCTAATAGAGTCGTGTTTTAACTCTGTCGCCAGATCCAGTAAAGCCTTTTTGCGGAGTTATAGATGACAGAGTCTCAACAAACGTGGATTTTTTCAAAAATATTTTTTCTAGAGTCGCAACAAACGTGGATTTTTTCAAACATATTCGTTTCTATCAATTAGCATATCTGATTTAAGAATCGAGGTTGGCACGTTGACTATCCACTGCAGTATCTGATATGTAACCTCAAAATGGTATAACAGACTCTAGACTAAGTGACAAAGATGGCACATTAAACGCCTACTATGCAGATGTCTGATGTTATCAAATAGGAAATAGGAACTATCACATTATTCTTAGACATATATTCCATCCTCATCTAAAGGTATGCTCAAAGCATCTCCTGTATGGGCATACCACCGTAATAAAACACCTCTAAAACCCTCTCTTTCGTTTTCAATTCTATATTTTTCCTTTTCCTATTCTTTTCCTATATTCTTCAGTTATTTATTCTAGAGCTGCCGGCTCCTTACCCATGACCTTTTATATCCCTTTTATAGATTTTCTTTGCATAGAAAACGCCTAATAAATCTGTTGTAACATTATTTCTCAATATAAAAAAGAAATGGTCCGATCTCTACCTTCTTTATAACATAACTTGTGTTGATTGGAATATTGAGATGTTCCAAGTCTTGGATAGAATCGTATGTTAATTTCGCTTTTTATGAGGTTCATGGATATTCAAAATTTAAGGCCTTTGTGGGGAGGTACCAAAAGGAGTGGACCGATATATTCCATCTTCACAACAGAACTTTTATTAGTGGAAATAATGGGATGTGTGGCATATAAAGAGAAAGTGATGCTTATTTCGGATTTTATAAACGTTTTGGGTATTCCAAATATTGACCCTTTGTGGGGGAGGTACCAGAAGGAATGGTCCGATCTCTACCTTTTTATAACATATCCTGTGTTGATGGAAATATTTAGATGTGCCAAGTCTAAATGGAATCGGATGTTAATTTCGCGTTTTGTGAGCATAATGGATATTTCAAATTGCGAGTAAAACCGTTATTTCGACTAGGCACGTTTTGACCGTATTAAATGATATATACCCTCTGTAGCCATACGGCTGAGGTTATAAACATGGATTTGCTTATTGTATTATTGTATTGTATTTAATTTAAAGAACTTTATTCCATTTCAAATAATTTTGCAAATTTCAAAGTCTGTATCTTTAAAAAGTGATACAAATTAAAATATTAAAAATCAGAACAAGCTTCCACAAGAATTAATAACGACCATCGACTACACATACAATCGTTCAATATCATACCTACCCTCTTTGTCATAAAATTTTCCGCAAAAGTCCGGATTCCCCACATAATGATCTTCCAGTTCCAGTAAATCTTGAAAACACAAACGACATATGCAACAATCATAACGTGGCTGTTGACGATGATCGACCAGATGGGAAAATAATTGATCACGTTTTGTAAATGAGACACAACATATCTGCGAAAAAAACAAACATTAGTTAAAAATCAAACAAACGACTTGCTCGAATTAGTTCGTAATTTTAAGGCTACTTACATTACATTTAAACATGTCATATTCATGTTGGCCAAATTCATGATGCTCACATTCGTCAATGGTCTCATAGTATTTGCCACAGTATTTTTGGCAGAAATAACGATTCGAACGATGTAATTGCTCGTGGGCTTGCAACTCCTCATTGGACATAAAGGACATTGGACAAATGGAACATTTGAAGTCATATTCAACAATACTGCAGGTGGATAGAGCAACATGTTGCACATAGTTTTGGCGCTTTAAAAAGACCTGTTTACATCGCTGACATATGGGCAGGGTAGAGGAACGTTCTGTTTGTAATTTGCGGCGAGGAAAGTTGAGAGGCTGTCGAAGAAAATGAAAATGTGTGAAACAAAGTAGAAGAAAAGTGAAAATACACTAAACAATGACAAAAACAAATCACAAATAAAAACAACTTGTCAAGCAAAGGCATGTAAAAACAAAACATTACACAATACCCCTGAGTCCCCCCACGACTGGCCCACTACTATTAGCACTCTTCTGCTCCTCGGTCGAGACAACATCACCAGCAAAAATGTGAATGAAAAACATTTGTTTATATTTTTTGTTTTGCTGTGTGTGGTGGAGGTACATTGCCCTAGTCAAGTCTGTTTGTCTGTCTGCCATGCATCCAGCCAGCCAGTCAGCCAACCAGACATTTAGTATCACAAAAACACCAAAAGACCTGTAGCAAACCATGGCAGGCACACAAACAAACGGACAGACAGACATCGACCGTCTAGAGTAGAATAGTAGTTCATGTTATTGTTTACATTTTACCCATTACCCATAACCATTTTCGTTTTTTTTTTTTTTTTTTTTTTTTTTTTGTGAAAGCGTTTTGTGTTTTTGTGCCATTCTCTTTTACCTTGGGTTCGCTTTTTATATTAGCCAAGGATATTGGTAGTGGCTTCTCCTCTGCCATTGAGACGGCTGTTGCTGCTGCAGCTGATGTTGATGCTGATGCCGGTGTTGGTGGAGCTGGTATTTTGGAATTTTCTGTGTTTACTGTTACTGCTGCTGATGTTGGTGGTTTCTGTTGCTGTTGTTGTTGTTGCAGTGATGTCTGAGGTTCTTGTCGTTGTTGCTGTGATACATTTTCATTTTGATAAACAGGAGGCCTTTGATGTTGGACCTGCTGGGAAAGCTGTTGATGATGATGAGGTGGATGACGATGATGCTGTTGTGGCTGGTATTGGCCCTGTGACTGTTGATGCTGCTGCTGCTGTTGTTGTTGTTGCTGCTGATGATGAAGTTGTTGTTGTTGTTGATGGTGATGATGTCGTTGCTGTTGTTCTTGTTGTTGTTGCTGCTGATGCTGTAGCTGATGATGAAGATGTGGATGATGTTTTTGCTCTTGTACTGCTTGTTGTACACGTTGTTGATGATGTAGTTGTTGTTGCTGTTGCTGCTGATGTTGTTTACGTTCTTCATTCATAGTAAATGTGGCATTGTTTTCAATTTGTGGCGCATTTTTGTGATATGGCATTTCATCCAGAGGTTCAGCTGTATATAAAACAAAGACAAAAAAGGACAACAAAAAAACTTTTTAGTCTTGGTTGTTAAACAATACAAACATACACACACACTATATACAAAATTTTCGCCGGAAACCAGTTACATATAAATTTATTATGATTTGAAGGTCATTATTAAATGAGACGGCGACACAGAGTAGAGAAGAGAGATGGCGAGCAAGCGAGCAAGCGAGCGACCAAGGGAGAGAAAGTAAATCTGAATATACGCAATGATGACAGCATCATCATAATAGTCATCATTATTGTGGTGGCCCATTTTTTCCTGGAATTTCATGTACATAAATGTGCCAGACTGAATAGAGAACGACGAAGAAACAAACGAACGAACGAGCATGACCAGAAGGGGGGAAAGGAGGTGCAGCAGCAACTGGCTGACAGACAAGGAATAAAGTATAGGCCGGCTGGATGATGAAGTATATAAAAGCGTATATGTATTAAGCATGCACGTGTGTATCCTGTTGTGTATATGTATGTATGTGTACAACATTCATTTTCAAGGTAATGACGAGGGAAACGTTTTCACTTGAAAAATACCATTTCCAAGAAAACAATGCGAAATTCTATTGAATTCAACTACTACCTAATGTAATATACAATATACATACATACATACAAACAAATGTGCCGGGGATATCCTGAATTCTGGGAAACATGGTTTAAATGGAAGTACACTTTGTAAATGGAATATGTTGCAATGTTAATTATTTAAAGAGTAATGGTGGTAAACAATGATAATGAGACGAGAATATACAATCTGGAGGTTTTGGTTGAAAAATTGAAATTGGCGAACAATGTGGAAGGTGGGCGACAACCGTCGAGAGTTCTAAAATGGCGATGACGGTGCGAATTTTTTGTGCAGCAGGAAGATAGGTCTATTTGGCGACCTCGTCAACTCTACGTTCTAAAAAGGATGAAGAGGTGCACAGAGCTTTAATAAATGCAAGGCTTTAGCTTAGTCCCATGGATCAAAGCAGAGGCTTAATACGGCATGTATATTTCTCGAATGACGTTGATCAGAACAAGATCGATTTAATAAATTCGGTAGATTTTCTTTGAACGAAAATACTGATGGGAAACCTTTAAATCGTGCTTATATCGGTACAGGAGACCCATCACGAAAGCTAAACTTTCCGAGCGAAATATCGTAAAATTTAAAATTCTCGTACATAGAGGAACAAACATAATTTTCCTGAATTTAATAACGATAAGGACGAGTTGTTGAGCGATTTATATATTAAACATTAGCTAGCAATGAGATTCGATAGAAATAATTTTAATATGTGAATTTTTACTTGGTTTAATTGAAAATTTCAATAGAAACAATGAAATATCAAATTTAGTGTTAAATCAGCATAAAGCAAAAAACGTACGCTTTGCACAGAAAAACATGCAGAATTAATGGCTTTTATACCCTCAGTCGTATGGCTAGAGAGGGGTATATATCATTTGACGCGGCTAAAACGTGTCTCTTTGACATAACGGTTTTAGACCCTAGGTCTCTTTGAACCAAATCCTTTTCAGAATATTTGAAGTCGATCTAGCGATGTCCGGCCGTCCGTATGTCTGTCTGGCTGTATGGTGCGCACGGTAACTCTTGAATGGAGTATCCGATTTGGTACAAACTTGATACATCGTAATATTATTATGAAACTTAGATCGGGTTCGGAGATGGACAATATCGGCCCACTCCTTCTGGTACCTCCCCCAAAAAATGCTGGTAATTTTCAAAAAAATATTTTACTGCACAGAAAGAGAAAGGAATATCCAATTTTGCTCCAACTTTGCGAATCTTAATATTTGTATCAGTGCTAGGTCAGATGCGAAAATGGACAATATCGGTCCACTCCATTAAGTTTAAAAGATGGTAGAAACCGAACCATTCCTTCTGGCACCTCCCCCACAAAAGGGTCAAAGTTTTGAATAACCAAAACGCTAATAAAATCCATTTTGTTTAACACAAGATCTGTTGAGAAGATATATATCTGCGAAGCAGTTCTGGTACCTTACCCACAATGGGTCACAATTTTCGATGACAGATAAAAATCTGTCAAAACGTGCGAAACAAGTCAGCGATTCTTTACAACTTGCTATATCTAAATATTTCTCTCAACCAACAATCCCATAAAATTGGATATAAAAGTTCGATTTTATATGCACATTTCTATTGATCGAATTTGGAACAAAAATATATTTGCCAAATTATATTTAAATCGGTTCAGATTTGGATGTAGCTCCCATATATATTTTCGGACGTTTTCATGTATTTGATGCACCAAACACGCTATGTATCTCTAATTTGAATGAAATTTGGAATGTGTAACGGAATTTCAAACGAAAATACATTTGCCAAATTATATCGAAATCGGTTCTGATTTGGATATAGCTCCCATATATATATATATATTTCGATCGATTTCGTTTAGTTGATACACCAAACACGATATGTTTGTTCGATATCTGGAACGAGTGACGGGATTTGATCAGAAAAAAAAAATTGTGAAACTATATTGAAATCGGTTCAAATTTGGATATAACTCTCATATATATTGTCGGTCAATTTCACATATTTGATTCACCAAACACGGTACGCATGTCTGATTCAATGAAATTCGGCATAAGTGGCTAAGATTGGTACAAAAATAAATTTGTCAGATTATATTCAAATCGGTTCAGATTTGGATATACCTTCTATATATATTTTCGGCCGATTTTCCATATTTGATGCACCCAACGTGATATGTTTGTCCGTTTCCAATGAAATTCGGAGAGAGAGAAGAAATTTGGTACAAAAAATTTGCCAAATTATATTGCCCTGCACCATTTGGTACGAATTTGGAAATTTAAAAAAAAAATTAAATCTATTAAAAATTCTATTAAAAACTTAAAAAACCAAATATAGGCATGATATTCAAATACGAAATTCAATATTCAAATAGGAAACTTTAAAAAAAATCCCGTGAATAGTGTAGCTAAAATGATCCAAATACCGATTAAAGGGAGGTACCGTTATATCGGGGCTATACCAAGGCCTGAACCTGAACAATTTACTGTCACAGGCTGTAGTACCTATTAGGAACTTCAAATAAGAAATTGCAAACAATTTCGGTGAATATTGTACGTTAAAATCGTCAAAATACTGAATATAGGGGGGTACTGATAAGTCTATGACAAAAAAATTGTCTATGCAGGTCCAGGTCTTCGTATAGACCCCATACTATACGAAGACCTGGACCTGCATAGACAATTTTTTTTGTCATAGACTTTACTTGACATTACGAACTCTAAATACGAAATTTGTTGCAACTCCGGTGAATAATGTCTCTAAAATCGTCTAAATATCGAAAATTGAGGGTATCGTTGTATGTGGGCTATACGATATCGTGGACTTATATAAACATTTCTCTTCCAGGGAGTAAAGTGCTTAGAAAGAAATTCTAGGTGGCTTTTTAGACAATTCCATTGAAAAATGTAGCGTAAATCATCAAAATACCGAATATCGGGAGGTGCCCTTATATGGGGGATATACGATATCGATATTGGACCTATATAGGCAATATCTGTCAGAGGGTAAAGTACTCATAAATAACTCCTTGTGTAGATTTTCAAACAATTTCATTGAAAAATGTGGCTTAAATTATCAAAATACCCAATATCGGGTGGTACCTGTTTATGGGGGCTATACGATATCGTGGACCGATATAGCCCATCTTCGACAGATCTGTGCAAAACTGTAGCTTCCTATCTTAATTCGTTTTGACTGTAGCGTGATTACAATAGACGGACGGACGGACAGGGCTAAATTGTCTTAGACTTTTACGCTGATCAAAAATATATATATACTTTGTTGGGTCTAAAATTATTATTTCGCTGTGTTACCAACGGAATGAAGAACTTAATATACCCTCCATAATATGTATGGCGGAGTGTATAAAAACTACACAACAATTTAATTGTGGATTACGATTATTACGGGAAAGTATGTTGCTACCTCGAATTCTCTAATGGCAACAGAAATGCCACTCAACTTCAAAAGTTTGCAGTTTCCTGCACGCTTGGCATATGCTATGTAATTAAAAAATCCGATGGACAAACCCTTCGTGTATGCGGACTAAAATTGGCACGTTTCTGCTTTTCTCAGGGCCAGTTGTTTCTGGCATGTACACGCGTTGGTAGATCGAATAATTTGTTTACGCATTAAAGTATTACATCAATTTTGCCCATTTGGAAAATTGTACTGTCATAACGGGCTATTTAATTATTGTCCTACTGCCGGCCAATAACTCGTGCGATTATTCAAAATATCGTTTTCCCAAATTGCGTGAAATCACCCATTTCCTGATCATGTATGAAGTGAAGAATTTAACCTCAATTCGTGATATGTTTCCTAATCTAACTGTGATTCGTGGTCTGAAATTACTTCTTAACTATGCCCTGGGCATATCGGCAATGGATTCTCTGCAAACGGTAAGTATTGTGGTGCCAAGTAATTGAAATTGTTTTTAGAAATTAAATAAAATTGAATAAAAAAGGAAATGCCTTATCGAATATTCTCAATATTTAGAAGGAAGAACTATGGCAAAATTATCTTGTTGACAAATGACATGAAATGTTTTCATTATGCTTTATTGACAACATCGAACTGTCAAATTTAAAAACGAAAGTTTCCTCCTTACAATTTTGTTCTGCGGCAAAAATATAATATTCTTTATGGTTTGAAATTCCGTTAATTTAAATAAGCCATAAAAGTTAAAATGAGTCAAATAATTAAAAAGTTACAACTAAATTAAGGTGAGAATACATTTTGACTGGCTTAAAGGGCTAAGTACATAAGAAGCTTGAAGTCGTGGCTAGGCATATTTTGTGACATTTCACAAAGGGATTACAGAGCCGCACTAAAATTCAGCCGTCGTTTTCCATTATAATTTGACATTAATATGCCAAGGTAGATGTACTAGGTAATCGCATCAG